AAAACTTGAAAGCTGGAAAAGAGCATTATGAGTAGACAAACTAATAATAAAGGGTTTCTCAAACATGAAACAAAACAAAACATCTGGTATGATTTTAATCTGGTAACAGCATCGCAACATTGCTCACAAGAGTCACAAGACCAGTCAGCTAATTGAATGCTGACCCTTAAGCCTTAATCTTCCTGTGAATAGCTATTTTTATACTTTTGTTTATTGTTAAATTTTTTTTTGGAGGAGGCATGTTTTTGCGTCCAAACCAGTTTTTATTCCAACAACTGAAAAAAGGCAACACACAGCGAAAACACCGTCCACCTGCTCCCCTCTGCCCCCACAGTAAAGATTAGCACTAGTGTGTGTCCAAGGGATTTAGTCGCTACAAAAGAGACAAAAAGACTACAGCTCCACCATAAGGCCTCTTTCTCTCTCATATCAGATGTTATCAGGGCGGCCATTTTGACAGGCTTTATCTGGAAGTGTCCGTCTGGCCCTGTGCACCCCTCAGTCCCCGCCTCCTCCCCGTCTCCCTCTCTCTATCCTGGGACATACACAAGAGGTGGAGGGGGGTACGCTTAGGGCCCATGGCGGGATAGGGACTCCTCACACAGAGCAGGTAATCGGCTCACAGTTAAGAGTTTAGGAGCTGGACTGTTTGGGTAAAAGTGTGGCCCTGCTTTGAGTGGATTAGTCACCGGTGTCAGACCAGGTGCTCCGGGGCAACTGAGGAGACGGGGCAGTCTGCAGAGGGTAGACTGGACAAAACTAGTACTTATGGTGGTATCAGTGATTTTGTGTGCTGAAATATAGTAATGTAAAGTCATTTTGTACATTTTTTAAAGTGCATATACTGATTATAAAGGCCAGCAGTTTATAAAAAAAAAAAAAATAAAATGTTAACAGTATATTATTGACTGATGAATGTTGTGACTTATTATTATTATTATTATTATTATTATTATTATTATTATTGATTTATTAATTAATTAATGTATTTATTATTTTTAACATGACAAAAATTTACACATTTTTCAAAGTTCTAGCAGGGCTGGACGTGAGTGATGTTCGACTATTTGACTGGGATAACTTTTTGGTTTAACTTTTTACATTTTTTCTTTGTTAAATCAACAATGTTGTAAAGGCCGCTGCTGTTGATTGATGATGATTTTGAGCTATATAAATTAAATTGAAATTGAATTAAATGGAAAACCAAGAGAGACTGAACAAATACTGTATCCTCTCATAATTATGCTTTTAATCTATGATAATCTATTAATCTTTTCTGTACATTTGTCAGTGCATGTTTATTATTTATACTAATACTTTAGCAGTTATTCAGCTCATGACTCCATCTAGTTGTACAAAGTGGTATAACACGCCTCACTTGTTATTTTTGAGCCCCAAAACATGGGACAATATTAAGGCGAAGTCTAACGTTTAAAAATAAGCTCTTAGGGACAGTAAACTAGCTTTCTCATTGAAAACAATAATACATTTTATCTATATTATGCTTTGCTAAATACTTAAAAGTAGGTTAAATGTTAAAAGCTGTTTTAAATAGATGAGTTTTGAGTTTCTTGAAGGTAGAGTGCAGTCACAAATGTTTAAATTTAGAATACAATCACACAAGTTTGCACCTAAATAATACAGGATCACTCAGCAGGTAAAGAATAATGTATAAATAGATGATGATTGACAATGATTTTTCAAACCAAATCACTATTTACACTTTAAAAGGCATTTAAAGTCTTCTTCTTCTTCTTCAAGTTCACATTTAACTGCAGTTGGTTAACTCCACCTGTCAATCACTCAGAGCTTGACCAATAGGAGAAGAGAGTGGAGTAAGGAGCTCACAATAAAGACACTGCACTATAGAGAAATCTTAAGTAGTAAAGCAGTGGGTCACAAAAAATCACAATAAAAAATCTACAGAGGATGAGATAATTTTATCGCTATAGAAACCGTAGTCCCCCCTGCTCCATACATTGAAAATTCAGCTAAACACAGAACAATAGAAAAAAGCCACATCTTATTCTCACACAAGAATAATGCCCTCTCATTATCCCAATCATCTAGATATATGTCCTATAGCTTCTTTAAACCCAATGGGGTTAATTTGCAAACCATTTATTATTTAATTAGGGTGTCATGTCTTTCGTCACGTGACCGCTGTATGCATATTATTATAACAACGTAATTGCTGACACTCCAAACGTGAGATTATTCCTTCCTTAAATGAAGTGATATTGTGAGGCCATTGTTAGAGATGACAGAGGACTTAATTAAGCCTGATTAGGGCGAGCTACAGTCACTGATCCTCTAAACATATATACACGTAATGACTTCCTTTCCCTTTGACACAGTGTTGTATTGGTGGCTTCAGTGTTTATCAATGGACGTACTGTGCCTCTGATGTGGAAAGCATGGGCGCCCTCTGGTGGACAGTTGAGACATTTATCCAGCTACTTGTTTTTATGTACTTATTTAAAGGAAGCAAGCGTAATAGCCAGTGTTGGGGAGTAACAGATTACATGTACCGGAGTTACGTAATCAGAGTACAAATTATGAGTAACTGTATTCAGTTACAGTTAGTGTTTTAATGAGTGGTAATTGGATTACAGTAACTTTGTTGAAATAAGTGGAATACACGCTGGCATTTTCCTGTTTTCACATTTTAGGCTGTATCCCTTTTTTTTTCTTCCTCTTTTTTTTTTTTTTTCAGTAATTCCACTCATTGCATTCATAACATAGAAATATATAAATATGCATTACTAAATATGCTGTTATTGTAAATGTACTTATATAAAAATGTAAATGTAAAATGTAAACCAGATCTAAACCAGGACTGAACCAGGACTAAACCAGGTCTAAACCAGGTTTAAAGCAGGTCTAAACCAGGTCTAAACCAGGTCTAAAACCAGATCTAAACCAGGACTAAACCAGGACTAATCTAGATCTAAATCAGGTCTAAAACCAGGTCTAAAACCAGGTCTAAATAGAATAAAATAGGACTAAACCAGGTCTAAAACAGGATTTAACAGGACTAAATCCTGCTGCATGGACCGTGTCTCCTCCTCTTCTATCAATAATATTTTTAATTTGGTTAAGTAAAGTCTGGGCTTTTTTATTGTCTTTTATCAGAAAAAACATCTTATGTGAAGATGACCTCGTCTTTGCTTCTCTACAGCAAACCAAGTAATTCAAAGTATTCAGATTACGTTACTCACTTTAAGTAATTTAGTGGATTACGTTACAAACTACATTTTGGAATATGTAATCTGTAATCTGTAGGGGAATACATTTTAAAAGTAACCTTCCCAACACTGGTAATAGCTGATTAGTTTAAACTGTACTGTGTAATCTTTCTTGTAGAGGGTTACTGCTTTGTCTTGAATGTTCCGCAGTATGGCATTAGACTTATGTATGATGCATTTATAGAATTACGTGTGCTTTTATGCTCAGAAATACATTGAAAAACATGCATTGTTACAGTGAACGTGGTCGCTTCTCCACAGATCTAACCTGTAACTCTGCCTGGTAGTTTTATCTGCTTGTCTCCATGGATATAGAGTTAATAAGTTGAATGCCATACTCTTTTAACTTTTGAGGCAGAGAAATAACTTCTGCTTGGAGACAATCAGGCTGCAGACCCTCCACCAGAAAAGTTTAGTGCATATCTTAAATTGCCTAAATTTGGAAAAAAAAAAAAAAAAAAAAGAAAGAAAAAGAAGAAAGAAAGAAACAGAAAAGAAAAAGCCAAATTAAACTGCTGTCACATTTTTAAAAAATATAGTCTGATAGGAGCTTTAATCTGACATATATAATGTGTTTTATTTTCACACTAAATTGTTAACTGTTTATTACTGAAGAGCATAAGAAAATATGATCTGAAATAGTATCTTGAGATGTTTTTTACTCACTGCAGTGCTCAGATTGCCAAAGATCCAAGTGCCAAAATTTAGATTTAATATATCCATGTTGTAGCCATACTTTCTTAGATTATGCATTAGACATTTTGTATTTCTTTGTGCTATAGTCCAGCAGATAAGATATAGATAGCTGTTGTGTTTTATTGTGAAAATCATCCAAACACACGTGAAAACATGACTGAAAAGAATTACAGTGGGACATGTACATATAAACAGTGGACCAGTGATATTTTGTCGTAAGCAGCTAAACTCAGAAGCTCTACAGTTGAGAGCTCTGGTTCTACATTACAGTGTCTGCATTACTACATGGTCTGCATAACTGTCATGTCGACATGATCGAGACATCTTCACACACATGCATGACCAGCCAGAAGTCTTTTCTTTATGTTTACCACTTTCTTCTTTTCAAATAAGCACAGAAGACATAAAATACATGACAAAAGATGTACGGGATTACAAATAATTAAATAACTCAACTATATATTTTATTTATATATTTTATATCAAATCCTCAAAGCATCCACTCTTTACTGTGTCGACAATGCTGTAAACCCTAGGCCTTCTCTCACTGAGCGTCATAATGAAGTGAAATGAAATGAATGAAATGTTTTCACTTCACAGGTGTGCCTTATCCGGGTCTAAAGCAGTGATAAACGCAAAAGGTTATTTTGAGTTTATATTTTGTTTACTACATTCCATACATGCTATTCATAGTTTTGATGTCCTCAGTGAGACTAAACAATTTAAGCTCTGAAAATTAAAATTTGAAAATATGTCCAAACTTTTGACTGGTAGTGTAGCTATATACTTTATTTGTCTGAAACTGTTTTACTGGATTAAGCAACTTTTTTTTGTTTGTTTGTTTCTTTCTTTGTGTTTTTTCTTGAGGTCCTTGAAGTAAACATGCCCCCTTCACTGGCCTCTCACACTTGTGTCTCATTAACATCTGTGAAAAGAGATGAGATCACAGTATAATGATGCATAATGATTAATATAGAATCTGGGCTTCCCCCGTGAGCAGATAACTCACGCAACAGTTGGACTCAACAGCTGAGAATGAGACAAAGTAACAGGCTGTTTAAAATAAGAACCTTTAATGAGAGGAATATCTGATAATATTGCCTTGAATTCCAGGTTTATCACACTATAGAGAATACAAAACTTCCTGAATAATTTCAAGATAGGGTTTATAAATGCTTTGTTTCAGTGTTGGTCATATGCACCAGATCTAGCCTACTATTTACATGAGACTAGTACTACTGAGTCCCAGGGCTGCACACCCAATCACAAGTCCTTTTCTTTATGCTTTTAAAACTTATCTCCCCCCAGAGCTCGGGCGATGCACATGAATGTAATCCCAGAGACGAGCACTAGGGGCACTCCAGCGGCCCCCACCATGAAGGACAGGCCGTAGTGGATCTGGACCTCCGCCGCCGGACACGTCTTGCCGTTTTCCTGAAGAATGTAACGCCGCACGTCCACAAGCTCCACCCACATCACGTACAGAAGCAGCACCGCCAGGAACAGACAGGCTGAGGAGGAGAGACAGTTATAATAAGATAATAACAGCACAATGTGTGGTCTTGAGAATCCCTGAACCCGTCTGATCTTGGAAGTTGAGCAGGTCTGGGCCTGGTGAGGAGCTGGGTGGGAGACCGCGGGGAATACCAGGTGCCACACAGTCGGGAGTCGTGGCTCTGATACAGACTGTTGTTGTGTCCTTGAGCAAGGCATTTCCTCAATCTCGCCTTGTATGAGTGTTGGTGGTGATTGGAGCGACTGAGGGAGCAGATTGGAAGCCTCGCCAACACCGCCGAGTGAAGAGTGAATGAATAATGCACTGTAAAGCACTTTGGCACTCTATAACCCCATGCATTATTAGTATTTGTAGTCCTTACAACAGAGTTACATGATTTTGGTGCATTATTCATTCGTTTGGACACACTTACATCAGTAATTTTGCCACTTTGCCATTGTGAACGTGGAGTATTAAATTCTCTAAAAAGCAGGTTGCATGAAGCATATCCTCCTGGGACCCGAGCATTAAGACAGACAGCATTTAGCATTTAGATTTTGTTCACTTTTCATTTTTCATTTTGGTTAATATTTGGTTAATATTTACAATTTTGTAACATGTTCTCTGTAATGGCCAGGGACATTTTGGTGTTAAATCCATGTGAAGTTAACAACCTAAAAAAAAACTACTTTTTTGATGACCAACATCTCTGACAAGCTTCTACAGTCGTCTCAAAAAACCTTTTAGACTTCCTTTTAATTTCTTAATTTGTTTTAATCATAGTGCAGCCACAAACTATTTCCTATCAAGTATTTGTTTATTTATTTATTTATTTATTTTTCCTGGACACGATGGCACCCTATAATCCCCCAGCCCTATTTAGGCAAAGGAACCTGTTGCCCCCATGAAACACTTCTCAAAACACTTCAAGACATCTTGCTGGGGGTGTTCTACATGTGGATCTAATGGTGGACTGTTGAGCAGATTTAAGATAGTCTGAAAACTCAAGAACATTTAAACAACACATTTTCAGGAGCTTGTGATCAATACAAGTGTTCATGGTCATGTTTAGGAGTTTGATTTTTGAGTGTGAGTAACTGAAAACTGTTGGCTCACAAATCAGCTGACTGTATTTCCAGCTAAGTCAGTTCTTTCTGGTTAGTTTGTGTTAAAATAAAGCACAGATTAAAGTCTAACAAAGCCTCAGACAGAGCAGTGCTTACAGTTAGCATCACACCCCCAGGGAATGTTGATGACAATGATGGAAAGTATGAATAGGTTTAAATGAAAATGTCTGGTATAAATACTTAACAACCTTAAATATAGAAAGTGTACTCATTAGGGGTACAAGTCTCACAATACGATATCGTCACGGAATGAACCTCACGATACGATATTTATTGTGATATTGTAGGAAAGCTCACGATATGGTGGGGAGGCTCACAATTAGGAATGTAACAATATCCAAATCTCTCGGTACGATATTTTCACGATGTACATCTCGCTTTACGATATTTATTGCGATATTTTGTGGAGGACAAGCAAACAAAACTGTCAATACGCTATTTTTTCCTCTTAAAATGCCTTGACAAGACTTAATCCAAAGAACTAAGACTTAAAAGTGCTTAGAGGTGTTATTTCTTCTTGTAGTCTACACTGAAATGGAGCAAAGGATCATGGTCTCAATTCAATTCAATCTTTATTAAGAACACGTAATATCCAGTTCATAGTGTTAAGAAGGAAATAGTAAGAACAAAACTACAAAAGTGTACATCTCACTTCATGATATTTATTGCGATATTTTGTGGAGGCGAACAAAACTGTCAATACGCTGCTTTTTCCTCTTTCTGGTCCTGTTGTCGCCATTAAGAGTCGATCTCAAAACCCTTAAAGATATACTGGTTAACTCAGTGTCCTCTATAAAGGACACACATGAATGGGCCGGGTCTCAGGAGGATAATATAAATAATTATTTTACCAACAAAGACATACACCCTCATGTCCAGTAGTTTTGTGCACTGTTGTCAATTATTATCTCATTAATTCATGTTTACACTTGTTGTTATAGTAACAGCTGTGTTGCTTTCTGTTTCCTGTTTGATCCTCGTCATGTGACAGGTCTGGACAGCTGACAGTGAAAGCAGGAGCAGGCTGTATTCATGTATCTACGTTCAGATAGCCCCGCAGCTCAGAGTCCACTCTCTCAGGGCTATAATTACCACACATGTTTGCGTGTATTTTTACCGGCAGCGATGAGGAGAGCCCCGCCCACTCGGTACAGTTTGTGGCTGTAGAACGGGACACCACAGACCAAGAGGAACCCACCAATCAGAGCGCAGAGCAAGGCCAGGACGATCAGGACTGTCCAAAAACCTCGAAAAACTAAAAGAAAAAGAAAAAGTGAACAGCTGTGTTACGTAAGAGCTCTAGACATAAACAAGAAAACAACAAACAGAATACAGTCAGATTTACAGAAAAAATATAAGAGCAGTTATTGCAGTTAAAAATACATTAATAGCATATTGAATATATAATCATTTCTAACCAAATACGGACCTAACATGTAATTAACCTTGGACAGGCAACCACACTGCAAAAAACTAACATCTAGCCAAGTTAAGAATACTTGAATTAAGAAAGTTTTATCATGATCTGAGTAAATTTCACTTGACAAGTAAAATAATCTACCAAAGAAACAAGGCTTTTTGTACTTAAAATATGAAAATACATCTTGCAACATTTAACATAAGAAAAACAACAACTCTTTGCACTCAAAATAAGAAACAAACTCAAATGTTGCTTGAATTAAAGGTGCACTACGTAACTTTTGCTTGCTTGTTTCTATGGATGTGTTATTGCTCTGCCTGGAATGTTCCACAGTATGACATTAAACAGCTCTTCTTTACATTTATTAAATTACGGGTGGTTTTACATCTAAAAAATACCAAGAAAAACTAATTCTGACTGTGAGTGGAGTTGACTCTCCACAGATCTGCAGTGTTGGGAAGGTGACTTTTAAAATGTATTCCCCTACAGATTATAGATTACATATCCTAAAATGTAGTTTGTAACGTAATACATAAAATTACTTAAAGTGAGTAACGTAATCTGAATACTTTGGATTACTTGATATTGTCATGTTTTGTTGTTTTTTTTTAAACTACATGAATGTAGCGAACACATCCTGAAAATTCATGTTTGTTTTCTTCAAATTGTCTGTTGAGCTCAAGTCTTCATGAACAGACTTTTGTTTACTGTAGAGAAGCAAAGACGAGGATCTGGTTTAGTCCTGGTTTTAGTCATAGTTTAGTCCTGATTTTAGTCCTGGATTAGACCTGGTTTAGTCCTGGTTTAGATCTGGTTTAATCCTGGTTTAGACCTGGTTTAGTCCTGGTTTAGAGGTCCTGGTTTACTCCTGGTTTAGACCTGGTTTAGTCCTGGTTTTAGTCCTGGTTTAGCCCAAAATGTGAAAACAGGAAAATACCGCAGAGTAATCAATTTATTTCAACAAAGTAACTGTAATCCAATTACCACTCATTGAAACAGTAACTTTAGCTGAATACAGTTACTCATAATTTGTACTCTGATTATGTAACTCCGGTACATGTAATCTGCTACTTCCCAACACTGCAGATCTGATTTGTAACTTGGTCAGCTTTGGTCTCCATGAAGATAAAAAGGAAGAATACCACACTGTGAAACATTACAGACAAAGGAATAACATCTCCATGGAGACAGACCCTCCTCCAGACAAGTTACACCTTTAAGAAAAACACACACTTTTTCCATTGGTAGATCTTGTCCAGTTGAATCCACTCAAATAAAGTCAAATGTTCTTAATTTAAGTCATTTTAACCTGCCCAGATTTTGCTTTTTGCAGTGTTTTCATTCATTTTCAAGGGAGCAGTTTGTCCCCACCCTCATGTTTGGTGAGACGAATACTTGATGTGAAATCCAAATATAGAGTAAGATGAGTGCTTTAATGTGTGCACAGACATTAAGACTTACATAATGCTGCCACATACACAGTTGCAGACAGTTGACTATTTTGTTGCTTATTTTTCCTACAGTGTTGTCTTAATGATTCCATGTGCATTTTTTTGGCCCAAATTTGATCATTGTCTAATTTCAGAAGTATTGTGTAATCTGATTTCTTTCTGATGGTTCACATGCGCAGGTTCTTACAAATTAAATAATGCAAAAAAGGGGCAAAGTAATGCGGTGAAGAGAAAAATGAAAGAGAAAATATTGAAAGTGGTTATATAATTGTTTGTACTTTGTCTTCCAAATCCAACCGCTCATGAGGTTCAGTCTAATGTTTAACTGACTCATGTCACCAGGTGTTTTGATGGTCAGATTTCTGTTGTGCATCTACCTGTCAAAGTCCAGAGAGCCTTGGTATACTATTGATACTTTGCAGTGACCTCTTGCTGGGGGTGTTCTATATGTGCCCCTAATGGTGGATTGTTGAGCAGATTTAAGATAGTCTGAAAACTCACGAAAATTTAAGCAGCGCATTTTCGGGAGCTTGTGATCAATACAAGTGTTCATGGTCATGTTTAGGAGTTTGATTTTTGAGTGTGAGTAACTGAAAACTGTTGGCTCACAAACCAGCTGATCCATATTTCCGGCTAAGTCAGTTCTTTCCAGTTAGATTGTGTTAAAATAAAGCACAGATTAAAGTCTAACAAAGCCTCAGACAGAGCAGTGCTTACAGTTAGCTTCACAGCCCCAGAGAATGTTGATGATGTCTGGTATAAATACTTAACAACCTTAAATATAGAAAGTGTACTCATTAGGGGTACAAGTCTCACAGTACAATATCGTCACAGAATGAACCTTACGGTACGATATTTATTGTGATATTGTAGGAAAGCTCATGATATGGTGGGGAGGCTCACAATTAGGGATGTAACAATATCCAAATCTCGCCGTACGATATTTTCACGATGTACATCTCACTTTACGACATTTATTGCGATCTTTTGTGGAGGCAAAAAAACCTGTCAATACGCAATTTTTTCCTCTTAAAATGCCTTGACAACACTTAATCCAAAGAACTAAGACTTAAAGGTTGTATAGAGGATTTTTTTAGGGGAAGTGAAAATACAGTCCTTTTTCAAATGTTGTGCATGCGTGACACCACCTTCCTCCTCCACAGCTCCCTCAGTAGAAACATCTCCTCCCGCCTCCTTACTCTAGAAATCACGCTTGTTTCCAGTCAGTGCGCGTTCAGAATTACTGTTGAAGTGACCCGTCTAGAAGTATTTTAGCGACCGACGCATCAGTTTTTAGTCCCTTCGTCTCTCTGGAAGGAATCTCCAAGAATCACCTCAGTTTGTCTTCGCTCCTTTTCTCCTTCTCTTCTTCTTTCAGCGACCTCAAAAACGGACTTTCTTTTGCGGCGAACTGCTCGTGGATTCTCGTCCGCCATCGCAACAAACTTTGTGCGAACTGCGAGGAAGCGACAGTTTGAAAAAGCCTCTAAGAACCGCTGCATAAACCACGTAATCCCCGCGCGATGACGAGTCAGTTACACTAGAAACGTAGGGAGTTTGATTGACAACAGCCAATAGAAAATGAGGCAGCCTTGTTTCCTACTGGCTGATGTTTTTTTTTGGTCATCATAATTACAAGGCTGCTGCATCTCTGTAATGGTATTTTAAACTCTCATTGACAATTTAAAACTGAAAAAAAATCCTCCATACAACCTTTAAAAGTGCTTAGAAGTGTTATTTCTTCTTGTAGTCTGCATTGAAATGGAGCAAAGGATCATGGTCTATGTAGTTCCCTCTGTCTATTTCTGCACCATAACTCTTAATTTAAGCAAAGAGACTTACAATTCGATATACCGTATTTTCCGCACTACTAGGCGCTCTGGATTATAGAACGGTCTGTCATTGTTTTGAATTGTTAGGATTTTGGTTTTTGTGTTTTCTCCCCCTCCCTCTTTGTTTTTTCTTTAGAGCTTGAGTGTGGCAGGGGGCGTGGCTGGCTTCTCCCAGAGCAGATGAGACAGACCTGCAATCAATTCCTTCATCAGCCTCTGTACAAAGCCTTGGTCTTCTCACCACCACTCTGCCAGATAATTCCGTTCTGTTCGGTAGTGCTCAGTCTGCCTCTTGGAAATATATCTGTTTTGTTTGCTGCTTCTGTGTACTTCTTGGACTTACCTGCATTTGTCTCTGCCCAGGTGTCTCCGTTGTCTTCAGCCGTAACCTCTGGGAAAGCCGGCCAGCTCCCTGCCTCCTCAGTCTGTTTACCTTTTGGAAATAAACTGTTGACCGTGTTCTGGCTCTGCTTTGGGGTCCGTCCAGTCAAACCGTAACAAGAATGGTCTGTTTTTGTACTTTTTTCACAAATAAACCGCACCGGAAACACAACAGTTAGATGATTCAGTTGGACTTTGTTTGTGGCGTTCACAGTGACTCTGGGCTTTGTTCAGTTGTGGCGTGTAGGGAGGGTGCTGTCTGGGACCGCTGGATTGTTGAGGTGTTCGCAGTGACTCAGTTGTTCAGTTGTGTCTAGAAGTGGGACATTGCACTCGCTTTTTCGGTTCGTTCCTCCGTTCCATTCCTCGTCCACGTGGAGTGATGAGTGTGGCTGTGGGTGTTTTTTGCTGCTCAGTCGCTGTCTGCTCCGTGTGTCTCTGCGTGCGCTGCGGGTGATGCGGCTTTGTAGTTTACTTAAGTCGTGCTGGGACACCTGAGTGGATTCATGTATAAGGCACTCTGGATCGCAAGGTGTCGTTTTTTGATGGAGTCGGAGGCTTAAGAGCGCGTCCAATAGTCCAGAAAATACGGTATTGTAATGATTCACAATATTATTGTGAAAACTTTGACGATATGATATCACAAAATTTCGGTTATTGTTCCATCCCTTGTACTCATGCTATCTGTGATTTATGTTTGGTGCACCTCTAATTTTACAATAAAAACAGAGGTGCACTGTGTAACGTTTCTGGTGCTAATGTTATTACTTTGTCTAGAATGTTTCACAGTATGGTGAAAGACCAAGTTTCAAGTCAGATCTGTGGAGAGGCAACCCCACTCACAGTCAGAATGCTTGTTTTTCTAGGTATGTTTGAGTTATAAAATCACCTGTAATTGAATAAATGCAATGTAGAGCCTATTTAATGTCATATTGTGGAACATTCTCAGCAGAGCAATGAGAAACAGCAGGTGAAAACAATCAAAAAGTTACACAATGAACCTTTAAATTGTACAATTTTTTTATTTACCTATGTGCAGTACTTTGGCAACAGACTTTGTTTATAAAATGTGCTATAGAAATAAAGTGGATTGGGATTGGACGGTCATCTCCACAGACCCGTCTCATCACTTACCTGCTGTGGGGTCGTACATGGGGTGGGGCACAGGTCCGATGGCGACGGGCAGGGGGAACAGGTAACCATGGATACACACTTTAGATTCGGGTTGGTTTGCTGGAATACAAAAGAAGTTTCTCACATGAATATTCAGATTGCGGTTTTACAAAAAGAGAGTCCTGATTAAGCACAGAATGGACTATAATTTAATTTAATGCTATTGGTAATTTAAATACATTTATAACTGCCCTGTCAAATATCATATTCCTAAACATTTGTCTCTTGTCAGAAAGACCACAGACCTGGGCCTTTTGCAGCTGCTTCGTGGAAAAGCTTGGAGACATGTCTGGGGGATATTTAATTATGTAACAACTTTTTATTGCATTTGGCACCGAAATCCCACTCAGATCCAGACGCTCTTTTGTGTACTGGCCCCATAGGTTTTGTTCTCACTGTCTCATGGAGTAAAAGAAGCCAGGAATCAGCCACAGTTGTAGTCTTCATACTTTCATCCCTGTACTTTTTTACTGTATAATGCTGTTTAATCACTACTGACTGTTACTTAACCATAAAAGTGAAATATGCGTAATTGATGTAATTGTAAGTTTCTATCTACAAATGGACAGTGTTGGGGAGTAACAGATTACATGTACTGGAGTTACATGTAATCAGAGTACAAATTATGAGTAACTGTATTTGGTTACAGTTACTGTTTCTATGAGTGGTAATTGGATTACAGTTACTTTGTTGAAATAAATGGATTACTCTGCGGTATTTTCCTGTTTTCACATTTTGGGCTATTCCCTTTTTTTTTTTCTTTTTTTTTTCTGTAATTCCACTCAATGCCAGACACTAAACCAGGTCTAAAACCAGGTCTAAACCCAGGTTCAAACCAGGTCTAAAACCAGGTCTAAACCAAGTCTAAACCAGGTCTAAAACCAGGTCTAAACCAGGTCTAAACTAGGTCCAAACCAGGTCTAAAACAGATCCAAACCAGGTCTAAAACCAGGTCTAAACCAGTTCTAAACCTGGTCTAAACCAAGACTAAACCAAGACTAAACCAGGTCTAAAACAGGATTTAACAGGACTAAACCATGCCGTGCGGACCATGTCTCCTCTTCTTCTATCAATAATATTTTTAATATGGTTAAGTAAAGTCTGGGCTTTTTTATTGTCTTTTAGCAAACAAAACATGATGTGAAGATTTCCTCATCTTTGCTTGTCTACAGCAAATCAAGTAATCCAAAGTATTCAGATTACGTTACTCACTTTAAGTAATTTAATGGATTACGTTACAAACTACATTTTGGTATATGTAATCTGTAATTTGTAAGGGAATACATTTTAAAAGTGACCTTCCCAACACTGCAAATGGATGCGGGTTAGTCCTGTAGCATCACAGGAGTAGTTCTCTCCTTCACAGTGGTTCTCCTCCATGTTCCTCTTTATTTTTCCTTGCGGATAAGGAGGGTCTAAGGACAGGGCATGTTCTGGGGCAGTTATCCAGTTACATATTTTGGTCAGTCTGCTTTCTAACGGTGATTTTGGTGAGTAGAATAACAGCCCGTTGTCTCCCAGCGGGTGATACTCACTGTACAGGGTGGAGAGGTGAGGTTCTGCTGTGATCTCCACTGGAAACACACAGCGCCAGAAGAAGCCCTCGTGATGAAGGGTGAGAGCCGAGGGGGTGACATGCTCCAAAACTGTGATCTGACAAAGAGAAAGACAGTACAGCTTAAAATAACATAGAAATATACAAATATGCATTACTAAATATGCTGTTATTGTAAATGTACTTATATAAAAATGTAAATGTAAAATGTAAACCAGATCTAAACCAGGACTGAACCAGATCTAAACCAGAACTGAACCAGATCTAAACCAGGACTGAACCAGATCTAAACCAGAACTGAACCAGATCTAAACCAGGACTAAACCAAAACTAAACCAGAACTGAACCAGATCTAAAACAGGACTAAACCAGGACTAATCCAGGACTAAACCAGGTATAAACCAGAACTAAAACAGAACAGAACCAGGACTAAACCAGGACTACAGCAAGACTAAACCAGGTCTAAATCAGGACTAAACCAGGACTAAACCAGAACTAAACCAGGACTAAACTAGGACTAAACCAGGAATAAACCAGGACTAAACCAGAACTGAACCAGGACTACAGCAAGACTAAGCCAGGTCTAAATCAGGACTAAATCAGGACTAAACCAGAACTAAACCAGGGCTAAACTAGGACTAAACCAGGAATAAACCAGGACTAAACCAGGTCTAAATCAGGACTAAACCAGGATTAAACCAGAACTAAACCAGGACTAAACTAGGACTAAACCGGGAATAAACAGGACTAAACCAGAACTGAACCAGGACTACAGCGAGACTAAACCAGGTCTAAATCAGGATTAAATCAGGACTAAACCAGGAATAAACCAGAACTAAACCAGGATTAATCAGGTCTAAACCAGGACTAAACTAGGAGTAAACCAGGACTAAACCAGAACTGAACCAGGAAAAGTTACAAAGTGCACCTTTAATGCTGTTTTAACCTTCTGCATCTGTGGGCTGTATCTGTAAAAAGCTCTATATGGATAAACTTTAGTGACTACAGTATATAAAAAACATATAAAAACCCGAGTCCTTAAGACATATAAAAACACATAAAAAGTGCTGTGAAGTCCCTGATGTGAGTTTTGTCAGCAGAGCGCAGAGACAGACTGAATGTGGTTGTGATTACAGCCCTTTGGTGTGTGCACTTTTCTACACACACATGAGTCTGCAGTGGCCTGTCTCTCACATGATTGATGGAGCTGAAGAACATGAAGAAACTTTGTTGGAAATGTGTCTCGACAGCTGCTGCTGAGATGGAGGGAAACCTCAGCAGCAGTTCAAAGAGGATGGAGCTCCTTAGCCTCCTTGGTGTACTGTCCCATCAGAATTATAGGGTTTTACTGTTCTTTTTTTTTTCCTTTCCTTTTTTCATTAATCAAAACTTAATTTTCTTCTTCTTTCTACTTTTCTTCTGGATTTTTAGGGTTTGATACATTTTCTGTCTGTTTCTGATTGCATGAGCATCAGAGCCGAGACCAAGTCGTTATTTTTCAAGCCTCAAGTAAGTCTCAAGTCTTTGACCTCAAGTCCGAGTCAAGTCCCAAGTCAAAGACAGGCAAGTCCAAGTCGAGTCTCGAGTCACTGGCCCATAAATCCAAGTCAAGTACAAGTCGTCTGCTTTGAGCTTCAAGCCATTTCAAGTCTTTAAACCAAAGTACAAAATATAGCTTTGGTTTTTGCAATTAATATGACTTTTAAACTAAATTGTACTTTAAAAATTCATGATGTATTTATATATGAGTATTTATGAGTTGTAGAAATGCATTATTTTTTTCCTTTTTAAATGTCTTGACAAGATCTTAGTGTATTTTGTCATGAGTCTGCAATGAAATGGAAGGATCATGTTTTTTGTAGTTCTGTTTTACTGTATTGTACTGTATATTACTGTAGTACATTTGAGGATACCATCTCACAGTACTTCAGTTACATCCGAAGTAACAAATAGAGAACTTGGATGGACATGTTAAAATTTGTTCCTGTAAAATTAAGCACTGCACAAGAAAAGTATTTTCGAAAAACATTTTTTTTAGGAGAAGCATCAAGTCTTCTCAAGTCACTGGGCTCAAATCCAAGTCAAGTTCCAAGTCACTGACCTTCAAGTCCAAGTCGACTCGAGTCCCAAGTCTTAGTCCATTCTATCATGTCAAGTCCCAAAAAATAGTGACTCAAGTCTGACTCGAGTCCAAGTCACGATTTGCAGAGCATAGTCAGAATCTTAAACCACAATAGCTCAGAACTTTCCAGAATGTAGACAGAACCCTAGAATATGTTTAATATTGATTATAATGTTGTACTTTTTTTTACATATATTGTTTTTATTTAGCATCTATTTACTCAACATGCTAGACTTTCAGGACTATTTTAAGAGATTTAAACTTTGTGTATCATGCGTTTTACATTTGTGCCTCCTTAAAAAATACTCTTTATGTAATAGTTTTTGTGCTGAAATAGCTCATGATACACTACATCGTATATCACACACACACGTCTTATTATCAAAATATGTTTTACTTAGTATGTCAGTGATCCCAGGAGAATAACAAGTGAGACATAACTGGTCCCCATAATCCAGGAAACATTTCAGACCCATATATTGTAATGGCAGATGTCTGTGTCTGTCATCACAACAGCTGACCTTTTTTTTATAAGAGATAGGAATACATCTGAGGTCACACTTCGCTGACAGTCCAATATCTGTCCACATTTAAGTTCACACTTCACGCACCACATCAAAACTAAACTGGGACTAAACCTGGATTAGAGCAGGGCCAGACCAGGGCCAAACCAAGTCTACATCAAGTCTAAACTGCACTCAGACCTGTTTTAGCAAGATAGTATTACAAGTATTACAATCACAGCTTAACCTTTGACATTACTTGCCCCATGCTGAGGACACGAAGGCAGGTTATATCTATAGCCCTAAATCTATAACCCCAAATCAGGAGCTCAGCTTTCTGACTAAATAACTGGCTTGAGAACGACACAAAAAATAGACGTTCAATTTCACATGTGAGCTGTGGGCTGCTATATTAACAGTTTGAAAAAATATATATATTTAGCTCAGTAAAATCAAGGATGTTACCACTTTTCTTTTTTTTTTCTCTGTCTTTAAAAAAAAATTGTGCATAAATCAGCATATGATAAGTATTCAATCTGAACTCTCCATTATTGAGATCATATTTAAAGCAACATTTGACAAAGTTTAAGCTATTTGCATTTAAAACAGGGTTCAAAATTACGCTAATCTAATGCCTAATAATTTAGATCTCATTGCGTTGGCATGGTAACATCCCCAATCTTGCACATTAAAACACACAGGAACATATATTTGCCTTACCACTGTACCATTTTCATCTTGCGTCACTTTCAGCATCTCCGTCCGCCCGCAGTCATCGCTCGCCACCAACCAGTAATCCGTCGCAAACGCCAAGAAAAAACACAGGGTCCCCAGCACCCCCAAAACCCCTCCAGACAAGGCCGCTGCACCCACCTTCATATCGCCCTATGCAAAACTACCCCTCTATAGTCCCAACATAAGCCCCTGAGTTTAATAGTGGTCAAATCTTTTACCCCTGACCAGTAAACACACAGGACCACTCCCCAGTACAATGAGCTTTCTAGGGCATAGACAGTACAGGGGAGGGGAGGGGGAGAAGCTATTTTGGGGTCTGTAACTTGGGGCCTTGTCAAATTACCAAAGCGAAGTATGAAGGAAGAAGCGAGCTAGTCCCACCGCCACCACCGTGTTGGTAAATGCAATAGTATTTACGACACGGGGGTATTTCAAAGCTCGGCGCTACACTTGGAGTCTCACTTTGAAAATAAATTAGACGGGACGTGCAAATGACCTACGACCCCCAGCCAAAAGTTCAGGCACAGTTTATTATTGTACACAGCAAGGTGAGTCATTAACCCAGTCCTGAACCCCCAATACTGTCAGTGGGAGTAGTGCAAAAGAATGGAAAGCAATAGGAAACAAAAAGGTGATTTAATTTATCAGAGAATCAATTGTTCTTTTCATTTTCTATGTCAAAGCTGAGGTGTTTTTTGGGTCCGTGTTTTGGGGCTGTCTGTAAGTCTGGGAGAGGGGAGTCTAGGGAGGCACAGCTTGGACTTATGGCACAAACTGTACACAGAAAAGACAACAACAACAACAACAAAACAACAACAACAAAAAAAACAACATGTTATTACTACTACCACTACTAATACTACACACTTTACATAGAAAAGACAACAAAGAAAAAAACGTGTCACTACTAATACCACTACTACTACTACAACTATTACTACAACAACTACTACTACATACTGTACACAGAAAAGACAACAAAGAAAAAAAAAAAGAACTAGTTACTACTAATACCACTCCTATTACAACTACTATTAGTACTACTAATACTACAACTACACACTGTACATAGAAAAGACAACAAAGAAAAAACTAGTTGCTACTACAACTACTACTACTACTATTACTACTACTACTATTAGTACAACTACAACTACTACTACTACTACTACTACTCTACTACATCTACTACTACTACTACTACTCAACTACATCTATTACTACACCTATTACTACTACAGACTGTACATAGAAAAGACAACAAAGAAAAAACTAGTACTACTACTACTACTACTACAGCAACTACTACAACCACTAAAACTACATCTTCTACTACAATGACTATTAGTACAACTACTACTACTACTACTACTGCTACACACTGTACATAAAAGACAAGAAAAAAATAGTTAGTACTACTAGCATTACTACAACTACTACTACTACAGCAACTACTACAACTACTATTAGTACAACTACAACTACTACTATTACTACTACTACTACTACACACTGTACATAGAAAAGAAGAAGAAAAAGTAGTTAGTACTACTAGCATTACACTATTAGTACAACTACTACTAATACTACAACTATTGCAATTACTACTGCTACTTTTTTCCAAGTTGAGTTTTTAAAGGGTGATAAAATAGATTTTGGAGAAGATGAGTGGTGTCGTCTATAACAGATCTCACCAGTGTGGGATCTGCGCAGTCCACTCCTCAGAATGTGGAGTTCATTAAACTCTGCATCCTCCACCTAAATATTGAATTCAAATCTTTTAATAAATGGGTAATATGAGTAAAACAAATTTAACTGGTCTAATTTCTAATTCGTGTAATGTTATTTGTACTTGTACAAAATAAATAAATACATGTTTTCTTAACATCTTAAAACATCTGCTTGTTGGTATTGCTTTTGTACCTGTGTGTCCCTCTCTCCCAGACTCCTGTGTCTCTGCAGGCTCCTGTCCTGGTGCAGAGTGTGGCGGCTGTAGGCGGGCATCTGAAGGACACAAAATCACTTTATAAATATGATTGTTTATAATTATAGACTACACTGTTACTAAAAGTATTGCTGTGTTTTTGTACCCTGCTGTTGAAATGATGCAGGTTTCTAGAGAGGATTCTTCTGATACTGTCCATCTCTTCTGGAAGCAGAGGGCGACTGGCGGTTTGAGGAACTGTTCTGAACAAAATCATTGAAAAAGTAAAAGTGTTCTAAATAACTTTTCTGGTATAGGCTTTTCCACTTTTTGTTTCTGTTGCTGTTGAGATATTATTAACTATATTGGAATCTTCCGTGGAGGGATTATCATTATTACCCCCCTTTTAGTTTTTTTTAATGCCTTGCATTCTTACTGTGGGTCACTTTTCCACAGATGATTGTATCCTCTTGCATTTTGGTAATTGTTTGACTGTTTTATTGTTTTTATTGAATTAAATGTTTTAGTTTTTTGTTTTTTTTCTTGGGAAGTGTTAAAAGTGCTATACAAATAAAATTATATTATTATTATTATTATTATTATTATTATTATTATTATTATTATTATTATTATTATTACTTCCTCTTAAGTTTTTGTCTTTCTTACCTTGTTAGTTGTGCATAAATTCTTCATGACAGAATATATTTTTGTGGACCTTGTTGGATGAAGATTTGGTGATGGGGCAGATTTATGAAGCTGGTGAAAAATACATGAGGCATTTCCACAGATATTTTGCCAAGAAAAAGCATTAACGTAAGTGATGTTTTCTCTACATCGTGGCACTTCCGGCCGTTTGAATGAATCCAACACAACACTGTTAATTACACCACAGCATTGTTAGTTACATACGTGTTATAGTGTCTGTGTTACTTTAGAATATTACTCTATTACTTATATACAATTAAGCATAATTAATTAAACTTTTAAATAAATCCAAAACAAATATGTGATGTGGTCTGAAAAACCTCTGTGTTTCATTTCTTAGAGTGCAGGTTTACATTGTAAGATAAATAATATATGCGGTTCATACCATAAACATAACATTGTGAACTATACCTGGCCTGTATTGTTGTCTCTCTGTGTGCCCCCTGCTCTCTTCTTTCCAGCTCCTGATAAACTCGGAGAATACTGGAGCGATTCTGCTGCTCCTCTCGAATCAGGAACCGACGCAGGAACTTTGTGTTGAACTGCTCAAACCTGTGCATCACAAAATGTCACACTTTTTAAAGGGCTCCATAGGGCTGGCTGTGTGATCAATGGCGTCCTCTAGTGGTGACTGTGAGTACTTGAGCAGACTGAATCCTTACTTGTCTTTCCAGTAGTGCTGTCCCCAGTATCCCACCACATCCTCGATCCCAGCCAGAAGGTGATCTATGAGCTGGGAACAGAGAAAGAATATGGTTTAATTTTTAGTAATTTAATAGTCCAAGAAAATGCTTTAGAAAGAAACATTCAATTCCCAAATCTTTAAATTATATTCAGGTGGTTTTCTGTTTGAGAGAAGAACTCAACCTAAACACATAGGGTTTGAAGACGTATTAATGAAACAAAGCACAACTCCATAACTTATTATTATTATTATTATTTATTTTATTTTATTTTTTTATGAGGAGACAACATCATAACATAGCATATAGCAGAAAATAGCATTATATGAGCCCTTTAAATTATTATACTTAAACTACTATTCTGCTAGTACACAAAATGATTTCAAAACCCCAAAACAGCCCTGGTATTCTCTCTCTCACCCGGCTGTGGATCTCCTCACTGACAGTGGGCAGAGCTCTCTTCTTCCTCTTTACATCCAACAAGTCCACCAGAGGCTTTATGGTCATGCCCTGAAATGCAAAATCACAAAATAACCTTGCATATTTATGCAGGAGTATTATTATTTTGAGTAAAACTTTGACCTAACCTGGACAAACACAGTGAAGAGGATGACGATGATGGTTGTAGTGATGAAGAGCCTCTTCTTGGGAAAATCATCGATGAGAAAAACGAGAGAGAAGCAGATCGCCCCTCTGAGGCCACCGTAGGCGATGATGAACTGGTCTCTGAATGTCACTTTGTTTCTCCTCACTTTGTTCACCACAGCAGTGAGCAGCAGCACTCCTGAAAAATGACACGGGGAAGTAATAGTAGTTTACTATATTTATGAGTCATTTTAAAGCTATAACACAGACTTCGGGTGTAAAGCACATTGTCTATATGTAATTAAATATATTAGATGTCAAGTCTGACAAATCGTAAGGCCTAGAGTTTGTGTACCTATGCACTTCTCAACCCAAGAGCAGAAGAATGGGAAAAACCGTGTGTCTCATTTTGTTCTTTATCAAACAACATGAGAAAACATTTCAATCTGAACTCACTCAAAAATAGACTAAGTATGCGCTAAGAATATAATAACATAACTTTGGTGTTTAGTCCCCAGAAAAGAACAATGACTGATGTACTGGAGGTGATATTATGAGACAGGAGTGTTCCTCTTGGGGCCCACACCCTGTAGTGATGAAAAACTCCTCTGCAGAGATGGGGATGGGTTGGAGGGGGGGCTGTGTGAGCTGAACAGTTAAAAGATATTGCATGAGCGTTGTGAGTCTGGCACAGAGAATAGCTGGTGGCACAAGTGTTGATAGACTGGACCGGCAGCATACGGCAGGAGAAGAATACCCTGAGCAGGTAAAGCAGAAGGGAGCCTTCCAGTCTGAATCTTTGGCTGTCATGGTGTTAATTTTCATTGAATTATTTTACTATTCGTGACCCAGTTTTATTTTGTATTTCTCTAGCCATGTGTGTGTTTTGACTTCTTGTTGTATTGATTGTTTGCCCCACCCTAATGTCTCACCTGTGTCTCATTTATGTGCATATATACCCTGTGTTCTCCTTTGCCCTTTGTTGGTTCATTGTCATTATGGCTGTCATGTCTGTTTGGATTTTTTGTGTTTGGTCATTCTTTGTTTTATTGAACAACTTCTGCTCTAGATGTGACATTGTTTCTATATAAGCCCTATATTACGCAAAATGGACTCTTGAGAGCTTGAAGCCATGCATACAGATGTTGCTTATATATGTATTGTTATGTTAAGATAATCATGTATGCCGATGATACTGTGGTATATACTCATGGTAAAACTGTGCACGGAGTTGCTCAAAAACTGTCAGAGGAGATGACTGAGGTTTCTGCTTATTAAAAAAAATATTGACTCACTTTAAATATCGACAAAACTGTCTTCACTGTTCTTTACAAATTGTCACAAACCTCAAAACTATCCTGAAATTCTGATTGGCAGAAGATTAATAATGTTGATCAGGTGACATATCTGGGATATTCTGGAACGAAATGTATGTTTTAAAAAGTTAAACGCTATAAAATTCAACATGGCCAATTTCAGATACATCTCCTTGACTACTGAATCTAAATGCAATGATAACGCCACACGTTCTTTACTGCATAACGAGTTGGTCACAGACTTGTAAATCAGCTCTGAGGCCTCTACAATCTTTATATAAAAGCCTCTAAAGACCCATGACAAGAAAAGTCGGCTATTCCACCATTGTCATATTCTTGTGAAACACCTTTTGAAAACCTGATAATGTACACATAAATGTTTGTCTGCTGTATAAGATCATTCATGATACTGCTGCTCCTCTACTAAAACACTTTGTTTCTGTGAGCTCTGAAACTAGTTCCCGAGCCACTCAAAATGCTCTGTTCCACCTTGTGATGTCATGCAGTGGTAGTTTTCAAGTTAACGCCTACCTTTTGTTCATTAGAGATTGGCACAGGCTGTAGTCATCCAAATTATTCTAGTGAAGGGATATGAAATTTAAAAACACTAAAAGCACTTCCTGTATTACCACATGACATCACAAGGTGGGATAGAGCTTTTTGAGCGTTGGAGGTGTAGACAGACTAATAATAAAGGATTACTGTTCGAGAGAAGAACTCAGACTAAATATAGGATGCAGGATTAGTGTGTTAAACTTGTGGGAATGAAACAAAACACAACTCCAGGTATGATTTTGATGAGGAAACATAATAATAATAATAGAAGTGATAACATTTGTCAGATGATGCAGTGTTTTTACCTGTTCCTCTCCAGATGAGGCAGAGCAGCAGAGTGGAGCAGACGAAGGCCCAGCTCCACATGTGCACGTCCTGGATGGTGGACACGCCCAGAAAGATGAAGATCAGAGTCTCACTCACACTGCTCCACATCTTCAGGAAGTACTGGATACTGCTGTTACTGCGCTCAGACACGTTAGCCTCCACGTACTGCTTCATGGTCACTGCACACGTCACTATCCTGAGAGAGAGGGCAAGTTTAGACAGTGAGAAAGAGGTCTGTATAAGTAAGTGTAATCATTTAGGGCTTTAAACTAGAGACACACTGATTCAGCAGTAGTAAAAACCAGGTTATTACCAGGTTTTAGGCTGTGCAAAAGTGCAAAATTATTAAGATAATTTGTGGTAAATTAGCGCAGATTTCACTGATTTGATCCATACTCTTTTTGGCTGTAGGCTGGGACTCATTTGAATTTTTAAAAACAAATGTATTGAAAATATATTTTTACATATTTTTATACATTTACATATTTTTATATCTGTGCTTATTGTAAACCCAGTATTTTAGGCGAGGATTTCCACTTCAATTCATAAGATAAGATAAGATTCGCCTGACCTATGTGAAGTTTTGATTGCACATACCTCTGACCTATGTGCGGTTTTGATTGCACATTACCTTGACCTATGCACAGTTTTGATTGCACATTCCCTTGACCTATGCACAGTTTTGATTGCACATTCCCTTGACCTATGCACAGTTTTTGATTGCACATTCCCTTGACCTACGTGCGGTTTTTGATTGCACATTCCCTTGATGTATGTGCAGTTTTTGATTGCACATTCCCCTGACCTACGTGCAGTTTTAATTGCACAGTCCCTTGATATATGTGCAGTTTTGATTGCATATCCCCCTGACATATGCACAGTTTTGATTGCACATTCCCTTGACCTATTTGCAGTTTTAATTGCACATACTTCTAACCTATGTGCAGTTTTGATTGCACATTCCCTTGACCTATGCACAGTTTTAATTGCACATTCCCTTGACCTATGTGCAGTTTTGATTGCACATTTTCTTGACCTATGTGCAGTTTTGATTGCACATTTCCTTGATATATGCACTGTTTTAATTGCATATTCTCTAAGCCTTACTTTATTTATTTTTTTAACTGCACTATCTAAGTTTAGCAGATTAACGGCTAATGGCACGAAAGAAGAATGTTTGAATCTGTTCAGTTTACAGTTTGGGATCCTGTACCTTTTGGCTGATGGCATCAACTCATTACATTCATTACATTTTTTATTTATTTTACTGGTGCTTTTGTAGTTATGTTGTTTCAGTGTGATTTGCATCCAACAACTAGTCTGATTAAACTAGTGCATGTGGCTCTCAACCAACTAAAATGCCTTACAAAAAAGCACATGTGTAACTTTATTCAGGCTCATTTCTACAACTTTTATGTAATATTTATGGAGTAAAAAAATAAAAAATACAATACAAATGTGTTGTATTGTGAAGACTCACGCTGTGATGCCAGAGAGGTGGAGCATCTCGGACGTGAGGTAGGACAGGTAGGAGTAGAGGAAGACGAAGAGGGGGGCTATGACTGGGACTCTGGGGGTGAACCTGGAGGTGAGAGCAGCCACCAGTCCAAAGAACAGCCCCACAAACAGACCCCCAAAGCCCACCACCAGCACCCTGCACCCCCCCAAGAGGACATCCAGACCAGAGACCGAGGGCAGGCGCAAGAAGGACTCAAACAACTGGTACAGAACCTACAAAGAAAGTTTCAAATATAGTCAAATGTTTTTTTTTGTTTTTTGTTTTTTTTTGTTGTCTCTCCTAATTCAAACTCAAAATATGAACTATAAACTATAACTATACTTAATATAACGAGAAACTTACCAAATAATCCCAATTCAGGACTCAGTCAGATATTTTATAGTACAGGTTTATGTCCACATGTTATAGGCTAAAAAAGAATAAAATACTTATCTCTTCAAAACACTAATTACCTTTTCTTTGCTTTCTCACAATTGTGATGAGTAATGCACATTTCATCTGAAAAAACATCCATTTTTACTGTAAGTGGGATTGTCTCTCCACAGATCTTAACAGTAACAAGGCCTGGTGGCATTACCTGCTTGTCTAGATACATTTTATGTCATACTGACTCCATGGAGACGCGATGTTGGCAGACCCCCAGTCACAAAAGTTCCACAGTGGATCTTTAAGTTATTTTGTAGCCTCTAAGTAAGAGGTTTTCAAACTTTTCACATCAAGACATATGCCTTAAAGTAACACTAGATCTAAACCAGGTCTATTAGATCTAAACTAGGGCTAAACCAGGTCTAATATAAGACTACACAACTGATACACACTAGTTCTTGTCAATGATTAAAGATGTATTCTGTAACTTTTCTGGCAGAGGGTCCTTTAAATGCTTTTCTCCATGGAAATGTTATTGCTTTGTCTGGAGGTGACAGACCTTCCATCCGGAAAGGTATGTAATGCACCTTTAAACAAAAATGTACTGGATTAGTTTGCAGCGAGGTGTGAAGCAGCAGGATGAAGATCAGCTCCTCCTAATTCGAGGCCATGGTTCTGGACTGGAAAAAGGTGGCTTTCACTCTCCGGGTGGGTGGAGAGTCCTTGCCTCAAGTGGAGGAATTCAAGTATCTCATGGTCTTGTCTGTTAGTAGTCAGCGTCAGTGTGATGCAGTCGGTGTATCGGACTGTTGTCATGACGTTTGGGTAATGACCGAAAGAACAGGATCGTGAATAGAAGTGGTTGAAGTGAGTTTCCTCTGCAGGGTGGCTGGGCGCTCCCTTATAGATAGGGTGAGAAGCTCAGTCATACGGGAGGAGCTTGGAGTAGAGCCACTGCTTCTCCATGTCAAGAAGAGCAGCTGAGGTGGCTTGGGCATCTGTTCCAGATGCCTTCTGTACGCCTCCCTCTGGAGGTATTCCGAGCATGTCCCGGAAAAGACTCAGAACAAGCTAGAGGGACTATTTTCTTTCAGCTGGCCTGGGAATGCCTTGGGGTCCCACCGGAGGAGCTGGAGGAAGTGTCCGGGGTAAAGGGAGTCTGAGAGTCTCTGCTTACACTGCTGCCCCGGCCCCGGATAAGCAGAAGATGTACAGTACTAAATTCAAGGCAATATTTGACATGCATAGTAATGCATGTTAAATATTTCAACTTTGAAATATCTGACTGACCCCCTCAATCCTTCCTCACCACAGTCACAGCATCGTTGAGCAGAGACTCTCCAAACACCAGGATGTGGAGCTGCTCGTTCACGTGCATCTCCTGAAACACAGAGAGGACGGCCACGGGGTCCACGGCAGCGATCAGGGACCCAAAGAGGAGACAGTGAAGAAGAGATATGTCCCCCAGAGATGAGGGGCACAGCAGGCACACACCGTACAGAGACAGGCCTATACCAAGCACGTTCCACAGGGTCCCCAACAACGCATACCTGAGAGAACGAGGACAGAGGGACAAACACAGGGAGTTACTTAAGTCTGTTTCTCAGTTATTTCAGACTGGATTAAGGAGTAATTATGACTATCACTTTGTTAATAATTTCTTTTAGGTATATTTGACCTCTGTTTACCAAGTTGGTTAAGGATTAAAGGTCCTATATTATGTGAAATTGACTCTTTAGCCATGTTATGTTATCTCCTCATAAAACATATCCAATCCAGTCCACTTTATTTATATAGCACATTTCATAAACAGTTTTCCAAAGTGCTGAACAAATGCATAATAATAAAAACAATGATAAAGTGATCAAATAAATGCTCAGATTTAATCATACTAGTCTTAAAACAATAAAACCAGTCAAATAAAATAAGAGCAAAGACCATGGAATAGCAATAAATAAATAAAACCAATCAAATAAATTAAAAGGACCACACAACTCACACGGTGTTAAAACCCAGAGAATAAAAGTGGGTCTTAAGACGAGACTTAAAACACTGTGGGGGCTGTTCGGACGTGGGCAGGAGAAGAGTGTTTCAGAGCTTGAGTCAGGCCACAGAGAAGGCCCTGTCCCCTTGGGTTTAAGTCTCGTTTTAGGCAACAGTGTGTGTTGTGAGTGTTCTGTTTCATTCACACAAGTTTGAGTAACTCTTTATTATTAGTCTGTCAAAATCGCTTGGGCACCTTGTGATGTCATGAAGCGGTAGTTTTCATGTTAACAAGTTACCATTAGTTCAGTAGCGAGTGGCAATTCCAAGACTAAATCATCCAAATTATTCTAATGAAGGTGCATGGGGTTTAAAAGCACAGTAGGGCATTTCCTGTATTACCACAACTCCGGGTATGTTTGTGATGAGGAAACAGCATTATAATAGATCAGAAAATGTAGTATGGGCCCTTTAAGTGGTCTTTTAATGTGTACACCTGCTTGCTTAGAAGTCTTTGTATCAAGTGATAAGCGATACCAACAGACCAGACCAAGCCAAGCTCAAGATCTGGGTCAAATAGAGATGACAAATGTCTTAACAGGAACAATAAACTGTGTTACCTTTTGCAAAGTAATCCAGCATAGGGTAACGCAAGCCATGACCAGAAAATTGGAACTTTTCACTTTATAGTTTTGAAATAGAGTTTGACTGAGAAGAAAGAATTTAAGATCATGATTACACCCCATCTTGTCCATGATCTTAAGTTCTTTCTTCCAAAAACAACACAGAGCAAAGGTCTGACCAGAGGATGGTGCCCAGGTTTTCAAAGAACAGTCTCCCCGGCAGGAAGTACCCCGCATCCAGCACGATGGGGGGCAGCAGGAAAAGGAAGAAGGCATCAGCGCTCAGAGTGGGCGGGGCCGAGTGACGGACGCCATAGATGACGCCGCCCACCAACAGTCCCACCATGATGAGGAGACAGCTCTCAGGGACCACCGCAGGGACCCGGCCGGACCAGTGGAAACCTGAAGAGGATACAACTAATGTAACATGTACTAGAAATCTTCAGTGAGGTTTATGCAAAAGTTGAATCCTTTATCTGAAAGTTTTAAAGTAGTTTAGCCTTTTTAACCAGACTTGTGAGCAGAACCATTAGTGACAACAGTTTTAGTGCCACTTTGCAACAGCACAATCCTCTTAAGGATAAGGTAAGGTAAGGTAAGAGCTAAGGTATTCCTTTTGAAGATGTTATAAAATACCATAAAGAAAATAACTCTAAAATCTGGGTTCAGTTTAGTAGATTATTCCAAATATGTAACCTCTAGATAATACAAGTACGGCTTGAAAATGCAAGTAAACTGTACAATAAAGTGAATGTGCATAATGTGGAAGTAACACCAGGCTCTAAAAGTTCATTTGGCAAACAGTTATAGAGTCTGGTTTCACATAAGTTAAAGATATTTTTGATCTATACATTCTTAGTCTCTTTGTGTCTCATCATCAAAACTGTGGTGTATTTATTGATGAAATAAAATGCTTGTTCACATACAGTACAGTGCACTAGTGATCAGTGTAATGGAACTAAACTAGAGGAAGTGGTGAGCATGTGAGAAATATATATAGTGCAATTTATGTTTTAACTGCCAAAATGCAGATAGTAAATTCTCAAATTAATTTTAATATCACTTCTTTCAAACGTCACAGGACTTTTTTGAACCTCTGACATTATTAAAAGAAAACATTGCTTCCTCATATCAGACAATCCTTCATATACAAATAAAGAAGTCATGAAGTTCATCCCTGGTACTATGTTAAAACTAGTATGTTAAAATGGTGAAAACTTACTGAAGTCCACCAATTATAAATTAATGATCAAAAATGATCTGTTATCTGATTATATTCATCCATCTAACAAATTGTTTTATGTCTTTCTACAGCTTTTAGAAGAGTCATTATATATTTCGATGTTAAAGAACTTATATTACAATTGACTCTTGTGAGGTTTAAGTAATATTAGAACGTTGTTACCTCATGGAAAACATATCTAGAGTTGTGTTTTGTTTCATTCACACATGTTTGAGTTATCCTGCATTATTAGTTTGTCTACATTTTTAAAACTTGTGATGTGATGAAGTGGTATTTTTTAAGTTAACAGCTACCTTTGACTTTTTGTTCAGAAGAGAATAGAAATTCCAGGGCTGAAATCATCCAAATGATTCTAGTGAAGGTGTAAGGAGAGATCACAAAATATAAAACTGGATGATATTATGATGTTACTATATTTTCTTATTTTTTTCTGAACTTGACCTTTCTCCTTTCAGTATTATAATCAAATCTCACAGTGGTACTCACCCAGTTTGGCCAGCGACGCAAGCATAATCCACAACACGATCTCAAACGGCGCCTGCACATGGTGGTAGTCCACGCTGAAGACCCCCAGAGCCATCGGGACATCCACCAACGGGACCCCCTCACTGCTGCCGTTCTGCCCCAGAGATGAGTGCATGGGCTGGGGCTCGGAGGGGTCCACAGGAGGGGTACGGGTGGAGCATCCCACCATCAAACAGGTGTGTACGAGTAAAGAGAGGAGCAGAGGAGCCATCACGCAGTCATAATGGGACACAGCAGAGAGACAGACAGACAGGGACACAGGCAGAGCAGATAAAAGGAGAGAATACAAAACACTCTAATGTGCACTGGAATCCCTGAGCTGGCATTAGCGCACCAGCCAACACCTCTGACTCTTCACATGACAATACTATACTGTATACACAATAGACTGTAGAAAGAAGTGGGCTAAGGGGGTCTGATGTCACCCACAGTGAATTTGGAGCTGAGTTTCATTCATATTAGGAATAGGAATTTATTTGCAGACAAAATAGTGAAATAAAAGCACCAGGATCATGTTGAGTCAATTGGAGCCAGAGTCAATGGAGCCAGAAGCACCCCCATGATCATTTTCTATTTGGAACGCAGCGGCTACAAGGTTAGCTATGTTCATGTTGTTCACAAAAGCAGGTAACAGTGAAGTCGTCAGTATGTTTAATTTGCACTGGGAAATGTACTTGATTTCAGGAAAGAACTAATTATTTAAAAGATAAGATAAAAGAACTGAACAATATCTGAGTTTTATTACACGAGGAGGTGTAAAATATATGAATCTTTATTTAACATTTATTTTTGTTTCTACATGCAGGTAATATAAATAACATTTGAGTGATCAAGAAGACATAGTTATATATATTTTTTTACAAAACTAATTTCACAGTCAAAAATACTGCATTTCCAAGAGGAAATTACAATTGTCACATCTTTGTTTTTTTAAAATGTTTTTGTACACAAACTCTTCATACATCCTGTATAATTTCATAATGAAAACATTATTTCATTACATTATTAAGTGTCAAAAAGACAGATAGCAAAACAGCAAGCAAATCATTGTGATTAAAGGTCCTATATTACATAAAAGTGATTCTTGTGAGCTTTAAGTCAAGTTATAATACTGTTACCTCATCAATAATGTATCCACAGATGTGTTTTGCTTCATTCCCACATGTTTGAGTAACCTTTTATTATTAGTTTGTCTACATCTCCAAAGCTCAAAATGTTCTGTTCCACCTTGTGATGTCATGTAGTGTTTTGTAGAGACTGGCAATTCCAGGACAAAAATCATCCAGATAATTCTAGTGAAGGTGTATAGAGTTAAAAAAGAAAAAAAGAAAAGAAAAGTGGAGCACTTCTGTTTTTACCACATAATATCACAAGGTGGACCAGGGTGATTTCCATCTGAGAGAAGAACACAGCCTAAATACACAGGATGTGTGTGTTAAACATGTGTGACTAACTCAAAACACAACCCAAGTCACGTTTTTGATGGTTGAACATGGATCAAAAAATAGCATAATATGCACCTTTAATGCACTTGTTCAATCTTGGCGATAGCGTACACATATAATACCGTTATTTATTTTTAACAATCCTTTTGATATTGAAGGCAACGTTCAGCTGCGATACTTATTTACAACAGCAGGTGGCGTTTAAGAGCATCATTTTACAGGAATCAAGCTACAGTATATGTCATAATAGTCATTATTTAAACAAATGTGTGAAATAAACAAAAATATGCATTTCATTCCGTCAGTTGTGTTTCTAATTTCTATTATTATATTTATTATTATTATTATTTGTTGTGTATTGTCAGTCTTGTTGAGAGATCCTCAGGACTGGGGAGCTGAAGTTGGTGGAGCAGTGCCCTGTGTTACTCGTGCGTAAATAACTGATGGTTTTCTCACTAGAGGTTGACGCTTCTTCTACACTGACTTCTTCCTGTGTGTTGGGCTCCAGAGGTTGCACCAGACCATGCAGAAGACTGTTCCCTATGTTGGAGTTACATCTTGCCAAGTTTTCTGTCAGATGCTGTAAATAAACTTCTTCCAGTTTCTTCTCCAACATCCCGTTGAGCACTGAGTTTGTCCTGAGCTCTGGGATATCCACGCTGATATTCACGCTTCCCCCCATCACTAAGTACCCCTGGTCCGGGTTGGGGTCTGGGCTGGGATTTGGTTGGACTGGGACGTTAATGGGAGGTGATATGAGAGGTTGAGAGGTGCACTTTGCTACTGGGATGGGCCCTGAATCGGCCACTTGGAGGTCGGGGTAGAGCTCTAGAAGACTGCAGTCCACCACCACCGGGTCAAGGGTCAAGTTTGGAGGCCTTCCCGGGATGAGGAGACCTGAGGGGCTCTGGCAAGGGACTGGTGCTTCTCTTTGACAACCTGGAAAATAGTTACGGAGTTAAAATGAGATTCAGAAGCAGGACCACACCTCAACCTCCTTCTCCTCTTCTCCAGCGAATCACAGCTCACCTCAACCACACATCTAATTACCTTTCTCTTGTTTGTCTTTAGCCTTAAGAGATCTAGGGGGGTTCTAGGTGTTATTATTGATGAAAAACTTGGTCTACATACACTTTATTGTTCTTTAGTCGCACCATATTTGACGTATTGTGCTGAGATCTGGGGTAATAATTATAAAACGATATTAGAACCACTCTACTTATTACACAAAAGAATAATTCATAACGTTGGGTTTTACTTAAGGATTTGATAAGTTTTCAGACACCAAAAATAATGTACAAAAAGAAAAGAGCTACCAAAAACTATTCAGAAACTTTTAATTGAAAGAGAAAGTCCTAAGAGTCCGTACAGCAAAGAAAGTTTTTGCATTTCAGGTTGTGGGGTCAAAATTTTGAACTCTATGGGTGATGAGCTCAAAAATGGCCAAATATAAACAATAGTTTAAACATAGATATAAAGAAATGATTATAGCTAAGTATGCAGAAGAAGGAATTTAAGTTTATTTGCTTTCTGAATGTAAACTATAACATATTTATTTTGTATCTAGAGTAATGTGAATGATTATAAGAGTCTGGCAGAAGCACACTATTGCTTTAATGGGATTGTAAAAGGGGGAGGGGGTAGGTAAGCGTTGATTCTCCTCATTTTTTGGAGATTATATTTGTGATGACCAATGTAAAATAATTGCCTTTACGTATCTGTTGACTACTGTATAAAAATGCAGTTTATCATTTGCTTCATGATAATGCAATTTATCATTTATCAATTTGTATTTATGGAAACATCCAAACAAACTTATCATTATCATTATTATCTACAAAGGGGGTGATGTATTGGTTGGGCTGGCCACATGAAATGGAGCACACATACTGACGCATATGACTTCATCGTATCATCCATCAATAAATATCTTCACTGCATATATTGTTGCTACGTGGTCCTTGGTGGTGAAATGTATGTTAGATAAAAGTAAGTAAAGTTCAGCTTCAGCCTAAACCACTTTGACGTGTATGATACCGCTTCCTTTTGACTATACCTAAAGGCTGAAGATATTAACTTATGCAACTTATGCAACAAAACAACTTTGATCCATGTTATAATGTTTCCTCTCATCATTAGTTGACTTATAGTTGTATTTTGACTGTTCCTGTATTGTCCTTTATTATCCAACATTTACCTTCTATCTGCACAGCTCTCTACTTACATACATAAACTCCATATCGTACATGCAGGGTTTGAAAATGCACGTAAACAGTGCAATAAAGAGGAACTAGGACAAGCCTCTGGAAGTTCATATAGCAGACAGCCACACGAAGAGTCCACTAGTTTTCACATAAGCTAAAGTTATTTTCGATCTATACATTCTTAGTCTCATTGTGTCTTATCAAAACTGTTGTGTATTGTTTTAATGCAGTAAAATGCAGACTAAACTAGTACAAGTGGTGGGCGGGTGAGAGTTATAAAGTGGAAATTATGCTTCAACTGTCAAAATGCAGATTGTAAATTCTCAAATGCATTTTTATATCACTCCTACCAAACTTCTATTAAAAATGGCACCTTTTAAATGCAGACCTACAATACTTCTGATATTACCAAATATTTCAGGGTACGTTCACACTTGGCTCAGTCTTGGTCAACTCCTGATTCATGTTCTGACCAAAGATTAGCTCAGAGGTTTAGTTCCAGTTTTGTCCCAATTTGACAGTGGTTTTGGTGATGATTACACAAGTACAAACACGCACTTAAAGTAAGCTAAAAGTATAATCAGAAAGCTATTTCCTGAGTGAAACTGCTTACCTATTCAGCATAGTAATTATATTTAAATAATTTGTTTGTGAAAAAGACAGTGGTGGAAGGAAATGAAGTACAAACATAAAAGTACAATACTTTTGGTGTCTGTCTTACTTTACTTGAGTGCATTTTACAGTGAATACATTTTATTTTTACTTCACTACATTTGAGAGCATGTTTTTGTACTTTCTACTCCACTACATTTTAGATTTGGACCGGTTTGAGACCTGCTTAGACTTTTTAGCATATTCACTTTAGTATTTCATCTTTGAGCAAACTAGATGCACAAAAAACAGCTAGAAAAATGAACAAATCAACCGACCCACTTCAAATCCTCTAAACTTGTTGTCAAAATCACTGCATTTCACCTTTTAAATGTTCTAAAACTCTCTGCAAAATACTACTGATACTTGTATTTGAGTAATCTTTTGCCCCAGTATCTGTACTTTTACTTAAGTAACAAACTGAGTACTTCATCTACCACTTGAAAAAGGCCTTACCTGCTGCTGCCAGATCCTTCTGTTCTGTTTTGGTTGAAATGTTCGCTCCTCTGCAGCCCTTATCTACGCCATCAGCTTCTTTCCCGTTTATTTTTGTCTTTATTTCGACTGCCTTTGTGTCGTCTCTGTAATTCAAAACTGTCAAAAACGCTTCGCCCAACATGCTGGACCCCTCTGCTTCTCCTTCGAATTGTCTCAAACTGAAAACTGCACTTTTAATTATAGAGGTTGACTGGCTTGTTTCACTTCTGCAACTGATAACATTCCGCCCTCTCTACTCACTTCCTTAAAACGAATTCAAATCTTTTAAGTTTATGGGAAATAGCAATATTAACCACAACTAATTCACTTGTGTATTCTATTTTGTGGTCAATTAAAGGTGCTTGTTTCATTTACTCAATTACAGGTGTTTTTATTTAATTTTTTCACTTTAAGTTGTGTCACCTGCTTGTCTCCATGGAGATTTTAACATTTTATGCCATTTTGTGGAACATTCCAGGCAAACCAATAACATCTCCATGGAGAAAATATGACTTCAGACACGCCATTTAAAAAGTTACACAGTGCCCCTTTACAAGTCCTATATTATATTTACAAAATTGACTCTTGTGAGCTTTAAGCCATGTTGCTTCCTCACAAACATGGCTGGAGTTGTGTTTTGTTTCATTGACCTGTTTGAGTAAAGCTCAAAATGCCCAGTTCCACCTTGTGATGTCACAAAGTGGTAGTTTTCAAGTTAATAGCTACCTTTTACCATTTGTTCACTAGAGATCGGCAATTCCCGGGTTGAAATCACACACATTTTTTTAAAAAGTAAATGTATGTGGTGGTTTAAAAACGCAGTGGAGCACCTGTTTTCTGCTTGAGAGAAGAACTCAGCCTAAATATGCAGAGTTTATTGTTTAATGTATATTTTTGATGACGAAACAGCATTATAACATAAATCAGAAACTAAATCTACACTTTTCTTAAACTTACAACCATTTATTCAACATAAAAATAACAGTTCAGTTACAAATGCAGTTTTTTGTTTTTTTTTCTAACAAGTAGATTCTAATAACAATTTTGTTTAAGGACCTTGTGATTGTGTAAAACTGGAATTGCCACTTTAAGACAATGAAGAACAGGGCACAATGTGATCAAACAACAACTCAAACAATCCATTCACATCCTTTTGTCTGGAGAGTTTGGTCATAAACAAAAATCAACAATACACAACAACAAAATGTTATAGGTAAACATAAAACCATTAGAAAACTGGCTAACACTAATTTAAGGACCACATATTAATGGTTAGATAGTAATAAATTGTATACAAAGAAGTGTATTAGATATTTCTATTTGTATTTATAAAGTACTTTACTTTACTAATCGCAAAAGAAAAAGTCTTAATCACTTTTTAAATCCAAAAGGCCTACTATTACTTTTCAATACCATTTCAATATTCTGTATTTTTTGTGATCTTGATGCAATTGTTTTAAACTCAGATTGCTGTTCTTATTATAGATCCATGGGTTGCTTGTGGACACTGCCTTATATCTGTCTGAAGGGAGGATGGACGTAATACTTATGAGCAAAGGATGCAATTGCACTTTATTAACTATGGACATTATACACATTTGTGCTTTATAAATACAAAATATTATCTAAAAATCTATTTACCATGGCATACAAATTACCATGTGGTTAGGGATCAATATGTGGTTCTTATACATGTAAAGATGCACTGCGTAACTTTTTGGGTGAAGGGTCCCCCAAATGCTTGTCTCCATGGAAATGTTATTGCGTGGAATGATTCAGAGTATGGCATTAAACTTTTCATCATGGACACCAAACCAGGCCAAGTTACAGGTCAGATCTGTGGAGCAATTTTGAGCTATAAAAGCACCTGTAACTGAATAAATGTAAAGTAGATCTGTTTATGTTTATGTATTTACTGTGGAACATTCCAGGCAGAGCAAACAGAGAAACAAAACGACGACGAACCCCAACCAAAAAGTTACATAGTGTACCTTTAAGTGTTACCAAAATGGCTAATAAAAACTACAAAAGGTGCTATTTTGGCAAAGAAAACTTATTTAGGTTAGAAAAAGTACAAGTGAGTTTTTGACTTCAATTAACAGTCCAGTATTTCTTATCTGTGGTTGTAGTAATGGGCAAGTTTAGCCACTATATTATTTGTATGGGTGCACAGAAGCAGAAAAAATACATGTGGTCTGACTTGTTTCCTCTCCCTCTCCACAGACATGCAAATTTAAAAAAAGTCTAACATTGTAAACGCATCTTGGGAGAGTGAACAGCTCAACTGACCCCAAATAAGTAAAAGATCAGTGAAATGTGTTTTGTTTTAACACACAAATGGTGATGAGTGGCCAAGATAGAGAGAATCAGACCACAGCAAATAGACCACTGAAATGTCATTTAAAGTAGGAGTAGTATTAATATTTAATTAGTCTACCAGGGAATGTATCGTGCTAATGCAATGGAGACAAGTTAGAACATTGAACATAAAAATAGGACCAACGTCACGTCTTGCCGTTTAACTTCCTCTTCTGTTTCCCTGAACTTGTACACCATTGTTTTCTTATCATTTTGGTCTATAAGGTTGAGAACACAGGCTAAATTTGGTTCCTTTTTGTGACGTGTATAATGTATATATACATATAGTCTGCTACTCCATACAACTGTGTACAACTGTGATAAAATTGTCCAAAATAAAATTATAGCAATGTGACAGACACAAAAAATCCCACCATACTGTTAAAGTGTTTTTTTGTCATCATAGTTTAAGGTGCACTGTGTAACTTTTCTGAATGATGGTCCGTTATCTGCTTCTCTACGTGGAGATATTGTTTGAAATGTTCCACAGTATGGCATTACACTTAGTTACCTCTAAGGAGACAGCCGTTGACACGTTACATGTCAGATCTGTGGCAAAGCGAGCCCTCTCGCAGTGAGAATGCAAGTTTTTAGGTCAATAAAAACCCATGTAACTGATTGTTATTTGCAAGTTGGATAGGTTTAATGCTTTACTGGAACATTGAGTGATAGCATCTCCATGGAAAAGGAAAGTTACACAGTGCAAAGTTTATACCAGATTCTAATTGACCTGACCAGCAGAACCACACACTTTGACAAAACATTACAGAGACGAGTGGATCTGGAGCTGTGTCCTGTCTCATGTTTACAGATGGCGTGACTGACAGACAGATTAACCAATCAAAGAGAGACGCATGATCTATTAGGGTCAACAGCAAACAAGGGTGCTTACACGTAAAATAAGGAAAAAAAATAAAATAATAGGATTGGAAACAGCACAGATTTTTTGCAGAATCAACAATCAAAGCACCAAACTGTTATTTATCTCCGGGAAAAGAAGTTGTATATTTTGTTCTGAATGTTACGAGAATTTTCGAGAGATGTCTTCTGATTTAAGAGACACGTGCTAAAAAACAGCAGCTGTGGTTGGATCGTCTCAAGACTCAAGCAGAATGCAAAAGGGACTGGCTGGTCAGGCAATAATTCTGTATGATCAGTGGAATGCCAAGAATGCAAGTAAGCAAGTATTCCCAGTGCATGCACATAACATTGGATGCACCTTGCTTGGTTTAAGAGCTATAGAATTATTTATATTTTAAAGCTACACTGTGTAACATCCCCTCACTTGCTTGTCTCCATGGCTTTGTTTAGCAGCATGGCATTTAACTGATCTATCTCCGCGGAGACCATTAGATGATGCAACGAGATCGAGTTACAGGTCAGATCTGTAGAGAGCTGACCCCGCTCACACTAAGAATACATGCTTTTTAAGGTATTTTTCTCAGCAGTACTTGAATAAAAGATAGATAAGTTTAATGCCATACTGTGGAATATTCAAACAAAGCTTTCAAGTACACAGTACACCTTAAAACATTTTTTTTCTATGCCTGTGTTGTACATTTGAGTGGAATAAGTATCATACTGAGTAAATAGGGAATTGAATAGGTCAAAGAACCAGCTCACTTCTGTTGCAGTAAACATAAACTGACTTAACTATGGTTGCACATTTAAACATGACTATTTGTGAACAACGCTATTTAAAGACATAAAGCTCCACAAAGCTCATTCACACTGGTGCTTGTGGTGATTGAAGTAATATTATTAGGCCTGTATTATTATAGGCTGAGTGCTTGCAAGAGAGCAGTTCGTAAAAAGCTCTTGTCACTCGAGCTGGCAAGGCACGGCTTTGAACGTAATTATAAAAAAACACCACAACAATTATGCACAGATTGAAATAGCAAAGGCCTTCAGCTCCTGTTTAGGTCCAGGTCTGGTCCAAACTTGGATTACACTGTAGACGGACTTCCAAAGCTACTATTGGTCCTGCATCTTCTTCAATAGAGCCTCTGCTTCCTGCAAAAAAGACACATGGGAGAAAATGTGATTAAAATGGTGGCGCTTATATATGACATGCCATAGAAAGGAGGAAAGCCCCTTTGTTTCTATAGTAACTGGCACACCTCGTCGCAGTACCGCCTGTGACAGAGAGGTGGCGGTTGTGAGCTGGTGTGAACGCATGACTGCTTTGGGGAATAAAGAAAGGGATGAGTTATGTAATAGAAAGCATGTGTGGCCAGGGTAAAATGTTTCGTTGGATTTGAGGGGGAAAAACAGCACCCAGGACCCCGAGAGTAATGCATTTTTAAATAGGTACGCTGATATCTGCAGAAGTAACTACGTATAGAGAAGTAGTATTCCAGTACGATTCATCTATTACACTATACAGAATATATTAACTTTTCTAAAAATCAAAGGAATACATATTGGTACTTGATCACGCAATTTAGGTTTCAAACTACACGGCGATAGTAGTGTGTGTGAGTGATTTTTTTTCTCTAATTTGCGCTAAATAAATGCACAACAAATGGTAGAACAAACATAAACCTTTTTTGAACATATGGCATGTTTTTACGCTGCAGCTGAACGTGAAAGTACTCAGAAACTGCTTTGATTGCACCATTCAAACATTTTAGTGCAGGGATTTTTTAACTAAATACTGTAGTTGTCAAAAATATTGCAAATCAGATACTAATTGATACTAAAACTGGTATTGAAAGTAGATACTCATCTGAACAAGTATCAAGAGTAAAAACAAAAACAAAAAAACACTTTAACAGGACATGATTATACTTTTCTGGAATCCTTTTAGAATTATTCCTATTCTGGGCTTCATCAGAACTAATATTAGAGCACATGGAAACAAAGAAAGTAGTAAAATTTTGTGCAGAAAATGAAATGTGAAGTGTGCATTGCCTAAAGGTGCACTGTGTAACTTTTCTGGTGGAGGGTCCATCAAAGACCAAGAAAAACAGGCATTCTGACTGTGAGTGTTGCCTCTCCACAGACCTGACCTGTAACTTGGTCTGGTTTCCATGAAGATAAAATGGTTTAACACTATACTGTGAAACATTTCAGACAAAGCAATAACATCCCCATGGAAAAAAGTATTTGATGGACCCTCCAGCAGAAAGCATTTTTTACTTGTCCAGAGAGCATTTTTACTTGTCATTATGGTCGTAAAAATGTTATTACGTCGAGCTGCAATTTTGTCAAATCATTATTGTTCGTATTTCAAAGTGATGTTGATTAGATTAGGATTCTGTTCAGAGTGCATGTTGTAAACAGCCCCAGGAGCAATAACCTTTGGGAAAAGAATTAAAAAGGAACTGATAAACTACTACAAGAATGTTTTTGGAGGTCAAAACTACAGGTACAAGATTTTTTAAATGAAAGACATGATATTTTGTTATTAACAGGGAGCAGTCTGTCATCTACCAGTACATATAATTACAGCCTTTGCGATTTGATAACTGTGCTAACTCAAATACTGATTTGAATATGGCAACAACTTCTTGTACAGCTCTAGTATTGGTATATTAAGCCTATGAAGCCTTAAAGTACTGAAATTGAGTTACGTTATAGTTATACAATTTTAAAGAGCCCATAATACACTATTTTCTGATCTATGTTATAATGTTTTCTCATCAAAAACATACCGGGAGTTGTGTTTTAATTCATTCACACATGTTTAACACATAAACTCTGCATATTTAGGCTGTGTTCTTCTCTTAAACAGAAAACTCCATGCACCTTCACTAGAATCATTTGGAAAAAAAAAGGTATAAGGTAGCCGTCAACTTGAAAACTACCACAACATGACATCACAAGGTAGAATTGAGCTCTGGAGATGTAGACAGACTAATGCAGGGTTATGCGTGGTATCAGTATAGCAGATGGGTGTGTGGTGTTGAATTTGTGTAATGTAAGTCTAACCTTAGAGCCTGGGGGAGCTGTCAGACCCAGAAATGCATACACAGCGTTGTCCTCTCTAGCGTCAAAGAAGGCTTCATAGTTCTGTCAGAAAGGCAAAAAGATCAATGTCAACATATAACACATAGAAAAGAAACTCAAATCTGGGTTTACCCTGGTTTATTCTCTTTTATTTTATTTTTAGGGAGAATGGAGCACTGCATAATTTAGTAGTGTCATGTCTTTGGACTGGCTGTGACCTATATTCAAGTCCCATTTTAATCTATATTTCATGAGATAAAAATTTCATAAAACTGCTAAGAAATATACTTTGTTTCAGAATTAAAATGATTTACTAAATTAAGTTCAAGTTCAGGTGAATTTGTTTTGCAGCAATGTTCATGTTTGGCATCAGTACACATTAAGACAATACAGACACATAATCAAACATTCACACATTCACACTGGCTCAGAGTTACAAAAAAAAAAAAAAAAACATAACCCCTTTGTTCTACAGCTTGGCAATTGGAACCTGCGTCCTGAAGGGAAGAGGTGGAACTCGTCAGATAGGAGATGGGAGTTTTAGCTCACAATACTGGAGGCCATACACTGCACCAGCCTGTGTACAGGGCTGCACATATCTGGTGTACAGGGCCGCACCTGCCCGGAGTACAGGGCCTCAAGACTCAGCTGGGGCGCACCAGTCTGCTGGATCATTTAATGACCTGACTCACTTTATTCCTGTTCTTCAGTGCCAGACTGCCCAACCATACGACCAATGGATAAAAAACATTCGATAAAAGATCTGTCGAATCAGTTTTATCTTCAAATCAACAGCAGAAGGAAAACATGGACAGACAAAGACTACGTCAGATATATCAAGATTTGTTAGTTCTACTCTAACAGAGGAGAAAGAGACGGTATACTTTTAGTGGCAGGGAATTCAAACCACAGTACGTATTTTTTTGCCAAAGAATCAGTTGCTTATTGCACTGAAAAACATGTGTTCTTATTGTAAGCAGACTTGCATTTGCAAAAACCTGACTGTTATTTGGAGGAGGGCCTTCTTCTGCTTGTTTCCATGGAATTGTTGTTCCATTGGCTACAATATCCTACAACATGGCATAAAACTGGCAAAATCTCAGTGGGGAATGTTCCGAAGCTTTATATTTCCATGGAATCATGCAGGTGACATGCCACCTCCAGAAAGTTACAAACTGTAGCCTATCTTTAAGAAAGACAAGGCCAGAGTAACAAATAGCTTGCGCTAACTGATGATGACATGTATGTGTATTGGCAGAATGTTCACCAGTTACTTTGGAGAAAAACCTTTGGCTAATACTCGCAAACTTGTGACTGACGTTATGTGAGAAGAACTTGTTTAAAGTCAGTTTAAGTCAGTTCTTTCTGGTCAGATTGTGATAATAAGCTAATAAGATAACAAGCTTCAGATAGAGCAGTGATGTGATCAGCTGCAAAGTATCAATACAATGCACCCCACACATAACCTTATATTTGTCTGTTGTAAATGTGCATGCAAAGTTCCAGTGTACTGAGGTCCTTTTAAGACAGTTTGATAAATTGGAGCAGACATGTCCTGTTGTTTAAAATGGCCCCTGCGCTGCTACAACCTGAGGAATGATAATGTGGACCAGATTTGGATTTGGGGCCTTGGGGTCACAGTCTACAGTCACTGCACACACGTTTCACACATGAGAGAAATGAACAGACTCCCCAAGTATCATATTTAATTGGTCATAATGAGCATATTTAGAAACCGAACCGAAAGAAAAGACAATACCTATGCACCCCAACTGAGTCTGACCACAGTTTTATTAAAGCTAAGGAAGGCTTTAGTCCTTGTTTAATTCTGGTTTATTTAGTCATAGACCTTTTTTTTTTTTTCTGGTTGAGTGTAGAGATGCTATAGCTGTGCCAAAAAATGTTCCATAATAAGTCATTAATCTTTTATCTATCTCTATGAAGGCAAGAAACAGAGGACACCACAAGGCCATCTTTAGGGAGGCTTTTTCAGGCATTTTTGAGCATTAAAAAAACAAAAACAAAAAAATGCTGGGTATATTTAATGCCATACTGTGGAATATTCCAGACAAAGAAATAACATCTCCATGGAGACAAGAAGCAGAGGACAGCTACCCATTTCACAGTAAGAATGGGTGCTTTTCAGGTATTTTGGAGCGATAAAAACACACAAAATAAATGCTGGATAGATATGCTGAATGCCATATTGTGGAATGTCATTAATTTAGGCAAAGCAGTTGCATGGAGACAAGCAGATAGTGTACGCGCCATCAGAAAAGCTCCACACTGCATCTTTAAGCACTCAACATTAATCACTGGTGGTTTTGTAAGTGTTTGTGTAGCTTTGCCTTGCGGTTTGCGAGTCAGAGCTTTATATCATAGCACCTCTGTGTAAAAAGCCCATTGTGAGTCCTGTGTTATTTGCTCAGTTCTGCCTCACTGCTCCGGCCTTTGTGCTGGAGCAAACAAGGTTACGCGTTCACCTATTTACTGTGTGTCTTTCTGCAGCCTCCCTCCTCGCTCCCACTCCCACATACCAGCGCTGTGGAGACAAAGCACCATACAGCTGTTTGATTCTGGGGAAAAATGTGACTTTCTTTGTTTGGGAAATTGGATCTAGGGCTATACTCCTCTGTGCACGCCTAACAAATACCAAATTCTTAAAGGTGCCTTGTAACTTTTTGGCTGGGGGTTCGTCACCTGCTTGTTTCTATGGAGATGTCATTGCTCTGCCACTGTTCCACATTACATTTATTCAATTATGGGTGGTTTAGAGCTCAAAAATACCTAGAAAAGCAGGCAACTCTACAGATCTGACTTGTAACTTGGTCTGGTTTGGTCTCCATGAAGATAGAAAGGTTTAATGATATACTATGAAACATTCCAGACAAAGCAATAACATCTCCATGGAGAAAAGCTTGTGACGGATCCTTCAGAAAAGTTACACAATGCATCTTTAAGTTTGATATATTGCTACAGAAATTATGCAATTAGCTATAATATGCTAGACAGCTTTTTGCCCCTGACAGTATAACTCTGTGTAGACTGACCCTAAGTTCACCATATTAAAGGCAGGGGTGTAGTGGGCGTGGTACATGGGGGTACGCCGTCCGCCCACTTCCAACGACGTGAGATATAAAAAAATTAAAAATATAAAATAGCTACAACTTAAATGTCAAACTGGAGCTATTGGCAACGGTGAAAACAAACTGCATAGGCTCATGATATCTGCAGGACTGTCCTATAGTGATCTGCAACATAAGAAACCAGGACTGAACCAGGACTAAAACAGGACTAAACCAGAACTAAACCAGGGCTCAGTGTTGTGAGGAGCCCGGAGGTGTGCCCGCAGACTGTCGGGTGGCTGCAGATGAAAGGACCAGTCCAGAGCTCTATACTCTGGACTGGTCTGGACTGACTATACAGCCATCGCCTGATCACACTTGGCAGACACCCTGCTCCACAGGCTCGGGATTCTCTCTCTTCCTCTCAAGTCCAAGATTAATCCTGGTTTATAGTCCTGGTTTAGACCTGGTTCATGAGCCATGCGCTTAAGTTTCGTTTCTGTAAAACGTAAACACACGTGCACAAAACTGCATTAAACACATTATAATGTCAAAATGGCTGATGTGGCTCTAAAGTCGTTGTGCTTTATATATTGTAAAGTTTAGTAAAAAGTTTAGTAATGTAAAGTTTATTTATGGAGAAGATTTTAATGAATAATCTGTTGCAGTGTCACTTGTACAATAGTGTTTGGAAACGTTGGGTTTGATCTGCAGTGGATTGTGGGAAACCTCAGAACTCCTTACTGCTGGAACATGGATCTATTAAAATAAGGAACATCCTGAGTTTCTTCTGCTGAAGGAGCTCATGGTTCTGGTTCTGGTTTGGATAACAGAGTTAATGCAAAGATGAGCTTGTCTTGAGTTGTTTTATCTATGAATGAAAAGAAGGAAATATGTATTATTAATTTTATTTTACAGTTAAATTATTATTTATGTAATTAGGTTTTTTGTAATCTTAAATGTTCCTATATGAACTGCCGACCTGTTACACTTCACTTAAAAAAAAAAGACCTTGTGGAATTTGGCAGATTTGTTTTTGCAGTTTTCAGTTTTAGGGGATTATTTTTTTCTTGAACATATATCGAGATATATATCGTATATCGAGATATAGCAAAATATATCGAGATATATTTTTTGATCCATATCGCCCAGCCCTAGTTGTAGCCTATGATTTATGTTCTGTAGGTGATTATGAACGGCGTAAATGTTAATAACATGATTTTGCATCATTTTGAGTAAAAAAACAAAACAAAACATCAAATATTACAGATTTTTACTGGGCTGACACCTTTATGTATGTTATGTTGTTTGCTGTGTTTTAATATTCAATCTATATGACACCTGTGTGTATTTCCGCATGTCAAGTTGAGTGTATTGCTTTTGGGGTGGAGGTGAATGGGCGTGGGGGGTTCATCACATCGATGATGTCACAAATTGGGTAAACCTTCTTAAAAAAATCCCCACTACGCCACTGAATAAAGGCACATTAACCTTTCTGGTAGAGGGACCTCAAATGCTTTTCTCCATGAAGATGTTATTTGTGTATTTGTTATTTTGTTTGTCTTGAATGTTTCACAGTCTGGCATTAAACATTTCTATCTTCAGGCCAAACCAGACCTAGTTACAGGCCAGATCTGTGGAGTGATGACCCAGCTCACAGTCAGAATGCCAGTTTTTCGAGGTATTTTTGAACTATAAAACCACCTGCAGTTGAATAAATGTAAGGTAGATGTGTTTAATGTCATACTGTGGAACATTCCACACAGAGCAATGGCATATCCATAGAAACCAGCAGGTGACGAACCCCCAACCAAAGAGTTACATAAAATAAAACATGAGTTGCAATAAATACATACCACGATTTTTCAACTCTCGTCAACTGGAAATGTTAATGCACAACTAAAAGTAAATTTGTTTGTGCAAATAAAGTGTATAAATAGAATAACAATTGTTTTCTTTAGTTCATAAATAGATTAATTATTGTAACAGGCCTAGGGGTGGGTAATATTGACAAAAATTAAAATATCACTATTATTAAAAAAATAATAATCTGAAATGAACCACAAAGGTGCAGAAATAGCACTTATCTCTTTCACTTATCCCCTTATTTGGGAGGTCATGTAGCATTTTTATTGTTCTTTTTAAACATTTTCTGCTAACTTTTTGCAGTTTTATTTATAGAAAACATATACTTGAATTTTGCATATGGTCAAAACAACACAATATTTTTTCTCTGTATTTCCCACCACTAGAGAGGCCTACATCTGTGCTTCTTGTGGCCCCCTCCTGTTGCCTCCTGTTAGCAGCCCTGTAGTGGACTTGTGCGGGTTAAACAGGAACAGATGGGGACCATGCATAGTGCTATAGAGTGGGACAGAGCTCAAAGGACTTAGAGACTGAGATTATAACAAACTAGTGCATGTTTCTTCAGTATTGTGGTGCTTGTAGTCCTTGATCCTAGAGAGGCAAAGTTATACAGCACAGCACCACTTACGGTTCAGGTCAAATCGATCAAAGGTGAGATGATAATGCTGCTAATAAGTGCTAAACAGCTTGCTAAAAATACAATTGTATCAATAATAGCATTGATTAGGTTTCAGAGCACTAAGGATAAATATGCATTGTTTGTTTTCAGTATTATTGAGTTAAAAGGTATATGACACTAATTTGACTCTTGTAAGCCATGTAATAATAAATGTAATAATGTTGTTACTTCTTCAGAAACATACCTGGAGTTGTGTTTTGTTTCATTCACACATGTCTGATTAATCATTTATTGTTAGTCTGTCTATATCTCCAAAGCTCAGAAAGCTCTGTTCCACTTTGTGATGACATCAAGCGGTAGTTTTCAAGTTAACAACTACCTTTTCCCATTTGGATAATTCCAGGTCTGAAATTATCCAAATGGTTCTAGTGAAGGTGTATGGACTTTTAAAAAATCCATGCAGCAGTAGTTTTCAAGTTAACCTAACTTTTACCTTCTGTTTAGTAGGAAATTCCAAGGACAGAACTCATCCAAATGATTCTAGTGAATGTGCGTGGAGTTTATAAACACAGTGGAGCACTTCCTGTATTACCACATGACATCACAAGGTGGAACAGTGTTTTCGGTTTGGGAGACACAGCCGAATATCCAAGGTTTGTGTTTTAAACATGTGTGAATTAAACAAAACACAAGTCCAGATATATTTTTGATGAAGAAACAACATTATAACAGATCAGAAAATAGCGTATTATAGGGCCTTTATGGGTTTTAGTTTATAAAGCTTAATTTGTACGTGCCAGTTCAGTTCAATTAAATTATAAAGGACTTTATTTTAACAGTCACTGGCCAATAACAAACTGCCCCAGAGCATCCCTGTCCTTAGATCCTCCTTCTCGGGAAGGAAAAGCAAAGTGTGTGAAATCTGGAGATATATTTTTAAGTATAGAAAAATAGTCCTTTATTTTCACTGTAGGAAAACTATTGTGGATCAGCCTGTCCTTTGTCCAGAGAGGCTGCTTGTGTTGGAGGGCATGGACATGGGGACGTGCCCAGAGCCAATCTTCTGATCTGAGTCATGGGACTTTACAGTCTATATAAATCATGTTCAGTTTTATGCTAGTGTAGTGAAATCTGAGTGGATTAAAATGTGTCACTCATGTAGCTGATCTATAAGATATTTTTCCATAGATTTATGAGGCTTCATGCACTCTTCAACTAACAGACTTAAAGGGCCCATATTACACTACTTTCTGATCTATGTTATAATGTTGTTTCCTCTTCAAAAAAACATACCCCAGAGTTGTGTGGCCAATCTCTACTGAACAAAAGATGAAAGCTGTTCACATGAAAACTACCACTTCATGACATCACAAGGTGGCACAGAGCATTATGAGCTTTGGAGATGCAGACAGACTAATAATGTAGTATTACTCAAACATGTGTGAATGAAAAAAACAAAACACAACTCCAGGTATTCTTTTGATGAGGTAATAACATAGCATGGCTTAAAAGCTCACAATAGTCAATTTTGTGTAATACAGGACCTTTAAACTCCGCTAATTCATCGTTACTTCTGACTTGTTTGCACTAAGCAGATGCAGCAAGAATGTTAAAAAGCAAATAGTACAGTTAAGCCTTCACATACTTTTGCACAGCACTCACACTGTGTATCAGTGAAATGCCTGAAATGTATTTTAGTTTGTAATCAAAAAACATTCTCACAGTTGCAGCATTTCTTTAGCAACACTGTTAATAAACTGACACACTTGGAGATTTTGAAAACTTGCCACGAAGGACGCCCTGGGACAGTTTTAATATATTGTTTCTAGTGAATGTTGCTCAGTCTGCTCATGTTTTATTGACCAATGTTTAATAGTTTCTAACTGCTTCTGTTGGGTAAACTGACCAGTTGCAAAGTCCTATAAAGCGACTGATGTAGTGATTTTAAGCTATAAGGTTTACTCATTATTTTAACTGGCTTGGAAATAACATCGCAAAAAACAAAGAGAAGCACAATCAATATAAAATGATGCCTTTAAAGCCATGTGTTTTTATTGCCACTTGCTCCGTAGGCCTTTAGTCAATGTTTCCTTAGCTGACCAAATATTTTATTAGTCGTCTAATTATTTTATAGGTATTACAATTCACGTAGACCAATGGAGAAAACTTCAATGAATTATCCAGCAATTTGAGAATGGATTGTGAATTTACTCGGCCTTTATACGCACAAATATCTAAGCTACTAGTACTTTTCATGTCCTTTTATTTGTTTATATTCAGTGTTGGGGAGTAACAGATTACATGTACCAGAGTTACGTAATCAGAGTACAAATTATGAGTAACTGTATTCAGTTACAGTTACTGTTTCAATGAGTGGTAATTGGATTACAGTTACTTTGTTGAAATAAATGGATTACAAGGCAGTATTTTCCTGTTTTCACATTTTGGGCTAAAACCAGGCCTAAACTAGATGTAAACTAGATCTAAACCAGGACTAAACCAGGACTAAACAAGGACTAAACAAGGACTAAACCAGGTCTAAAACAGGATTTAACAGGACTAAACCATGCTGCGTGGACGTGTCTCCTCCTCTTCTATCACTAATATTTTTAATTTGGTTAAGTAAAGTCTGGGCTTTTTATTTTCTTTTAGCAAACAAAGCATCTTATGTTACGATATCCTAGTCTTTGCTTCTCTACAGCAAATCAAGTAATCCAAAGTATTCAGATTATGTTACTCACTTTAAGTCATTTAATGGATTAAATTACAAACTACATTTTGGGTACGTAATCTGAAATCTGTAGGGGAATACATTTTAAAAGTGACCTTCCCAACATTGTTTATATTGTACTGTATTATATATGGCCAATGACGATTGTTTAGAATCTAGAGAACCTATGACTGATGATCTCTGCCGATACTTTTGGGCCAAAATGTAGAGCAGACTGAGGTAATTTCTCCCAAATTATCTAATTAAAATGTAGTATCAACTCATCCACAACCTTCTTTTACCAGAAACCGTGTAGAGTCCAGGGTAGTCACATATCTGCAGTACTCTTTGGACTTGCTTTATGCATCTATTTTTCATGGCCATTTAGACAGCTGGTTGTGCCAAAGAAATATCAGCATCTGCCAGAGATTTATGGCTGAAAGCCAATGCAGTAAATATCGGCTTGATATATCGGTCTGTCTTTAATTTTGAGATTCTTATTTTGCTAATTCCTCTTTTGGTCAACTAATCACTGCACCGGGCCAGTCTTTCATTGACCAAGAATTTCTTTGGTCGACAACAGTAACAGCCCTAATTACATCATACAGCTCCACCACAGAGCCTCTTACCCCGCAGTACTTGGTCTCATTGAAGATCTGGGGGGGCAGTGGGTTCCCCGTGGTGGGCCTTGAATCTTCCGGTACGTTCTCTCTCATCCACTTCCTGTTCTCCTCGTTGGCGGCAATGTCACACTCCTCGTACTCGATCTTATTGGCCGCCAGGAAGCCCATCACGTCCTGCTGCTGCTTTTTAATCTGCGAGCCCGGGGACAAGACAGGAAGTTATTATTAGACCCACCAGGAAGTGACAAACGGTCAATGGACGGTTATAAAGACACTGTTTGTGCAGGTTTGTTTTATGTGAAGTGGATTCAGCGTTCAAAAGGGGGAAGTCAGGTCATGTCATTCCAAATGCATTTAAAGGTGCACTAAGGTGGATGTCTGCTACTTGCTTGTCAGATGTTATTTCTGTGCACGGAATGTTCCACCGTATGGTATTAAATTATCTGCCTTGCGTATATTGACTTTCAGGTGTTTTATAGCTCAAAAATACCCTGGAAAACATGAATTCTTACTATGTTAAGGCTTGCTTCTACATAGATTTGACCAGTAACTTGTCTCTATTGTGAAAAGTTTATTTCCATAGTGCATAACATTCAAGGCAAAGCAATTACATCTCCATGGAGACAAGGCGGCGACTGACCCTTCACCAGAAAAGTTACATAGTGCTGGAATGTCAAATGTTCAACAATATGGAATTAATTTAATCTTATGTATCCATGGAGACAACCAGCTGACGCCACCAGGCCAAGTTACAGGTCAGATCTGTGGAGAGGTAACCACGTTCAGATTGAGAATACACTCTTTTCACTCAATATTTAGCACTTAAAACTGTTGAATAAATGCAACATTGAGAAGTTTAATCAATGCTTTACTGTGGCACATTCAAGGCAAAACATTAACATCTCATAAGGCAAGCAGAGGGGGGGCTTCCAGAAAAAGTACATAGTGTACCTTTAAATAAGAAATGCGTAACTGTATAATATGATTCATGTCATATTTTTCTCCAGGGAAGAAACAAGTGCAATCGGAGAAAGCAACCTGGTCCCCCATGAGGCATCAGTGGGGTCAGTTCATCACCACGGAAGAAGCTTATGAGGAGCCCAGACCATATTACATGATCGTTATATCCACAATGCAATGTGTGTATCTGTACAGGCCCATGAACATTTGTGTGATATTGGTCACACATGAGAATGTCTGTGTTTACGTTTTCTGAGATTTTGAGACCACTCCCATTGCTCTAGCTCGATCCTTCACGGAGTTATGACCAAAAACGTATATTTGACCTTGGTTACCTTGACCTTCAAGTGACATTGACCGGTTTCAACCTGTAACATCCAGTGTACCCCGGTTATGTGTGTGCCAACTTGTGTGATGATTGGGTGAATATTTTAGGCCACAGATGGTTCAGAAATTGGCGAAATTGCCTATCCTTTATAATGGCGTGACCTTTCAATTGACCCGTGAGACTTCAAATGACCTTGGATCGTCACCAAACTTTTTTTTGTGGCATCGGGCACGAGAGCTTGACCCACGTACCAAAGTTAGTAACAATCAGACAGTCACACAGGGTGAAAACAAAACCTGGTCAACCCTTCGGGGACCAGGTAATAAAGCATACGCCCAGTGTCTTAAATTAAAAAAAAGAAAAAAAAGATGTAACAATATCCAAATCTCTCGGTATATTTTGAAGATCTACGTCTCACTGTATGATAAACTATGAATATACTACTTTTTCCTCTTAAAATGCATTGACAAGACTTAATCAAAAGAGCTGATTTTAAAAATGCATATAACATTTATTTCTTCATGAAGTCTGCACTGAAACAGAGCAAAGGATCATGGGCTGTGTAGTTCCCTGTTTTTTTGTTTTGTTTTTTTTTTAGCTATTGTTGCATCTTAGGTATTCATTTAAGCAGACAGACTTCTAATTTGATATATTGTGATGGTATTATGATACCATATATATTCCGGTTATTGCTACATCCCTAATATTTACTATAGGTTGGGTCTTGAGTGATATAAGAAGATTAACCGGGGTGTTGCATGCATACATCTACTAGTAAGTCAAAGAATTAAACTGTAATTTTAAACTTCCACATAATTACCAAAATATGAACTAAACAGCAATACAATATGAGAATAATATTGTAATTAATATGTAGAATGCACAGTTCTATGGCACAGTTCCCATGTTAAACTCATCAACGGTGCAAGCATATAAGGAAATTCAGTCTACACATGTGTCTGTCATCTTCCTACTTCTGCTTGTGTGTGTTGTGACCATGAAATCGTCCAATCAGATAGCAGCGTGAGTGAGAGTAAGACCAGGATGTCCAAATTAGGTCATACGGAAACAGGCTCTCCTCTGGGACACAGGAGGAGGTAAGTGGTCAAAACACAAGCCAAATAAGGCCAGCTTTAAGACGGGCAGGGCTGCACCGCACAAAATCAAATACAACGAAAATGCGGTCATGGTAAAGCTTAACAATAATGTAAAAATGTCTACTGGCAAATATTGTGATTTTAAATGCATTTCATTTCATATTTTAAAACAGTCTCTTAGCATTAACCTTTGAGAGAAGACTGAAATATTAACTGCTGAACTAATACAAGAAACATGCATTTCAGAACATGTTTGTAGAGATGTAAACTGCAAAGTTAGAAGTTTTTTTTTTTGCTTCTTTTTGTTTTGATTTATAAGACAGAAAATGTAATGTATGCAGATAGATGTTATGTTACTTCAAGGTCCAAATATTACACAAAAAAGTGACTCATGTGAACTTTAAGCCATGTTATAATGCTGTTACCTCATCAAAAAAAAAAAAAAAAAAAAAAAAAAAAAACTGAAGTTGTGTTTTGTTTCATTCACACATTTGAGTAATCCTTTATTATTATTTATTATTATGAGTCTGTCTACAACTCCAAAGCTCAAAATAACATAGATATATATTATAAGCCCTTTGAATTATTGTATCATTTATCTCTTGTTAATTGCAACCATAACAATCACATCTCCATTAATTTTGCAGTCCTTTATGATAAAAACAGCTGAACCAGACAACAACCTGGGAGAGAAGAAGCTCCTCCCAACCTTATGGTAAGATAGAAGTACAGCGGATAATTCCACTGTGTTTTTATAACAACTTTGCGGAATTCAAATAAGGAACTAAAATGGAAGCTTATCAGAATTTAATCTTTAGGAGAAGTTGTTTACTTTGGTCAAAGAACCATAATAGTGATTCCCAAAAGGAATTAGCTGGAGATAAATTACGGGAACTTGTCCAACAATTTTACAAACCTCTAGAGGAGAAATCAAGATAATCAAATTCTGCAAATATGAAGAAAAAAAAAAAGGATTAAAGTCTGCGAGTCTGGTCCTATTGCTGCTTTTTTACCGCACAACTACTATCATCACAAAACTATTATTAAAGGGCCCATTTATAATACATCTATATTATCATGTTGTTTACTCATAACAAACATACCTGGAGTTGCACATTTAAGCTGGGCTCTTCTCTCAAACGGAAAACAATCTGTTCCACCTTGTGATGTCATGGGGTAATACAGGAAGTGCACCACTGTGTTTTTAAAATTCACACACATTCACTAGAATCATGTGGATAATCTCTGTACCTTTTTTGTTTAGTAGGAAATTCCAGGGCAATTTCGGTTGACTTGAAAACTACCGCTGCGTGACATCACCAGGTGGAACAGAGCATTTTGAGCTTTGGAAATGTAGATAGTAAAAATAAAAGATTACTCAAACATGTGTGAATGAAAGAAAACACAAGTCCAGGTATGTTTTTGATGAAGTGACAACATTACAACACGGCTGAAAACTCACAAGAGTCAATTTTGCGTAATATAGGACCTTTAACTAATATACAAAACTACTACTTCATGGTTTTGCATTACTGAGGATGTTATTATGTATTTACAGTATTACTAGGACCCCAAACTGTATTTCTCAAAGTGTGGTAGAGGTCCACTGGTAGTACTATGTGAACTCCTCTAGGTGGTATTCACTTCAAGAGGGTGATAATATTGCGCTAAGTTGTTTGTTGGTGCTCTGAAAAAAAAACTTTTAGGTGGTAACTTGATGTGAAAATTTGCAGAACCACTGGCAAGAATAGATTAACGATTAACTATTACTTCTGCTTCTCCTTTAACTGCTTTGTGGTTCTGTTTATTTAGTGTTTGGATCTTGCTTTGAAGTGAACTCTATCAGAAATCTATATCTCTTCTTCCCCGCCGTTGTAGCTGGTCTCTCCCTTAAAACAAGCCTGCACTGTGCCATTGCCAAGTAAAATTAATTTGCAGGAAAATTGTCCACGCTTCATCTGGCCTTGGTCTAATTGCAGTGTAAGAACTCCCATCTCCCCCGTTCGGTCGCACAGCTCTGGTCTCTGGAGTCAGAGCCTGGCACGTGCTTTCAACTGTGTGTCTATATTTGCCTTATTCTGGAAGTTGCATGGGCACTGTCATCGTCATTAAGGTTGTATTACTTAGAATCGGGCTGCTGATCTTAATAGAAAATAAGTTATAAACAGACTACAAAGCCATTTTAAAGTTTCCATATTACACTATTTTCTGATCGATGTTATAATGTTTCCTCAACAAAAACAAACTTGGAGTTGTGCTTTGTTTCATTCACACATTTAAACACACAAGCCCTGCATATTTAGACTGTTCTTCTCTCAAATTGGAAGCTCTCTGCTCCACCTTGTGATGTCATGTGGTAATACAGGAAGTGCTCGAGTGTGTTTTTAAACTCCACATACCTTCACTAGAATCATTTGGATAACTTCAGGCCTGGGAATGCCAATCTCTACTGAACAAAAGGAAAACGGTAGCTGTAAACTTAAAAAAACTACTGCTTCATGACATCACGAGGTGGAACAGAAGATTTTGAACTTTAAAGATATAGACAGACTAATAATGCAAAGTTACTCAAACATGGGTAAATGAAACAAAACACAACAACAAGGCATTGGTGCACATAAACTAGGGATGGGCATGATTAATCGATTAATTGATAATTGATCATTAAGAATTTCATCGATTACGTTAATTTTAATCGACAAACCGAATGTAGTTTGCTGTGCGTAGCGTGACCAAACAGGGGTCTGTACATGTGTCTCTCTGCACTCAGAAGGAGCGAGCAAACACAAACAGTCGGTCAGTCTGCA